TACAATATTTCCGTAGAAAGAATTAGGATCCGGTACTACATAATTAGTTGGCTTTTGTTTTAATTCATCCTCAAGTACTGAAATGATCTCCGAGTCTCGCAGTCCAATGAATGGTGTCAAAGGTGACAAACACGTGGACTCGGTACAGTTAACTTCCTATTTCGAAAATGAGATCAGTTTTAATTTCATCACTTGAATTTTGTTTGTATATTTTTCTTTACTTCGATACAAAATGATATGACTTCTTTCAAGAATTTTCGTGCGTGGAATGTATTTTCTTCTCCTAATTTGATTAGAGCCATTCCATACACCGATTTTGCTTCGCAATAATTTTCACCTCGCAGATCACCTCCAACGGCATTGCAGAGTATGTGATACGGAATGTTGAACGCCATTTCTTATGCTGGTATATGTATATGAATTGCAATCGTCAGCATGCGACGGTAAAAGTTGGGCGGTTGCATAGGTATAGACTGGCGGGTGGAGCTGTTTTTTTAATTAAAGAGTGGCGGGTAGTGCTTGTTGCACAAGTAAAGAGTGGCGGGCAGTGCTTGTTGCACAAGTAAAGAATGGCGGGTAGTGCGGGTCGCCTAAGTAAAGAGTGGCGGGTAATAGAGTTGCCGCGGGTAGCGAAAATGCTACCCGTTACCCTCCCCGCTACCCGCAGCACAACCACCCGTACCCGCACGGGTACCCGTTCGGGTACCCGTTACCGGCTACCCTTTATGAAAGTTAGGTTAAAAACTAACCAACCTTCAGAATAAATTTTTATTTAATCAATTATTTGCTCATTTAGGTTGATTAGTAGTTTGAGATATGTAATGCTGTGCAACGAACGAATATCATAATTTGCTAGATGTAATTAGCTATTTCTGAAATTAAAATTATTAACTTTCAATGGAACCTTTTTCAAGCCTGATCGGGATTTCTTAGCGAATTATATCAAGGGAAGCCAAAAAACCAAGCCAAAAATTAGGAATTATCACTTATGTATCTTTCCGTTGAATGGCCTGTTTAAAAAAACTATTGGGGGGACAAAGATCAAAGTCTACCATGGTTTTCGTCCAGTGAAAGAAAAATATGCAGAACATTAAGTTAAAAATTAAACTTTGTCGCCAATAGTTTGTTCAACGTGACCATTAACGGAAAGATAAGTATCACGCGATTCCTAGTTTTGGGCTTGACTTTTCGATATACTCGCTAGAGAATCTTGGTGTAGCTTGAAAAAAGGTTAAATTTTTAGTTTGATTTTTTGAAATTATGATTTAAAACGGTTTTATTCAAAAATAATTGCCTCCAAGTAAAATTTTTGTTTTCAATCGGATTCAGATTTTTCATTTTCAAAGCACAAACTAAGATCTCCTCAGACCTACATAATACACAAATACAAGTTAAATGATTACTGATATTTGAGAGCAGACAGATTAGTTTGAGATTAGCTTGAGAAACAATAATTTCTCCGCATTTTCGGGACGTGAGGCATATTTGAAGAATTATTTGGGGCTGAGAAGAAGTATTTGGGGCTGCCCAAGGCTTGTGTGGATATCGAAAAGACACGCTAGTTATAATCTCTAGCTTCTGGCAAATGGAAAATTTTGAAATCGATAAATAATAAATTTACGCTTTTCTTGGTAACTGGGCTAACTTTCTACTAACTTTCTTTGTGAACTGATTTATGTCGAAAATTAAATAAAAACTGAACTACCCGTTACCCGTGCGGGTAGTTCTTGCTACCCGCAGAGAACGGGTACCCGCAAGTATGGTGCGGGTATGCGGGTAACGGGTAACCGACCCGTTACCCGCGGCAACCCTAGCGGGTAATGCTGGTTGCACAAATCAAGAGTGTCGGGTAGTGCTTGTTGCACAAGTAAAGAGTGGCGGGTAGTGCTTGTTGCACAAATCAAGAGTGTCGGGTAGTGCTTGTTGCACAAGTAAAGAGTGGCGGGTAATGCTGATTGCACAAATCAAGAGTGTCGGGTAGTGCTTGTTGCACAAATCAAGAGTGTCGGGTAGTGCTTGTTGCACAAGTAAAGAGTGGCGGGTAGTGCTTGTTGCACAAATAAAGAATGGCGGGTAGTGCGGGTCGCCTAAGTAAAGAGTAGCGGGTAATGCTGGTTGCACAAATCAAGAGTGTCGGGTAGTGCTTGTTGCACAAGTAAAGAGTGGCGGGTAGTGCTTGTTGCACAAATAAAGAATGGCGGGTAGTGCGGGTCGCCTAAGTAAAGAGTAGCGGGTAATGCTGGTTGCACAAATCAAGAGTGTCGGGTAGTGCTTGTTGCACAAGTATAGAGTGGCGGGTAGTGCTTGTTGCACAAATAAAGAATGGTGGGTAGTGCGGGTCGCCTAAGTAAAGAGTGATGGAGTGGTGGAAGTAAAAGTTGCAAAAGTAACGTAAAACGGGCGGGGCGGTAGCATAAGCAAACAGTAAGTCTTTGATTTGCTACTGTTTCTTATAATGATGTCATTCAAATTACGATTTGGTTGCAACCAGTGGCAGCGGAAGTGTGGGGACGGAGGCTAGTCACTCATTTTGTCATCTTATCTAGCTCTACTCATTTTTATCCTTCTTCTCTCCACGAGTGGCCGTGGAAGGGTGTGGACAGAGGGACCTTCCCTCGGTTGTTCGATGTCCCCGTCATCTGCCGCCACAACTTCCGTGGCCACTGCTTGCAACTGCCTTTTGTCGTTTGCTCCACCGCGCCAAGGACTAACGGACCAAAGCCCAGAAAGGCCGAAACCTGACGGACTAAGGCCCAGAAAACCCAAGGTGAGGTGGAGGAAATAGTCGCATGCTGACGACGCTAAACTTCGTAAATCCAAAATCCCAGGTGTAAAGGAGTAAGACAATGACCATGTAACGCAGTTTAGCAATACTGTTGCATTTACAATTTGAATGGTTATTTTGTGGGAGTGTTTTCTAATTCTTGTGTTGTTAGTCTTGCGTCGTTGTCAATGACGATTTCTTCAATATCTTACTTTTAATTTCTGAACTTCAAATTGGAATAACTAAGCCAATTCTTAGCGGATTTTGATATATTTATACTTAAAATTTTCGGGATAAACTGCTCTACAATTCGTGGGTATCAAACTGTTGATGAAGTTTGCCAGTAATTAGCAATAATTACAAATGTGTTTTTAAGGCCACATTTTTGCCCATAACTCCGGTCAAAATCACAGAATCGCTTAGTCGGATCAGATCCCTTTTCTAGATTATGTAACAATGACCGGTGCAAAATTTCATCAAAATCGGTTGAGAAACGACTGAGATATCGCAGATGGTCACTTTTTTGGGGTGGGTCAAATGCATACTTAGTAATTTTTTAGTTGCTTGGTATTTGCCTCACTAAGAAAAATATTTCCCGTATTATTTGAAAAATTTGTAAATATTTAACACATTCTTTCAAAAATACAAATGTTTTGCTATTCAACTATGTAGGATAATTTTTTTTCCATAGAAGTTATACTACAAAAAATAAGGGGCCTTACTTACATATATTCTCAGAAACTTAAATTTTTATGAAGAGTTTTTTTTGTGTCTTTAGTAAATATTCTGGCGTCATTGTCGTAAATATTAAATGCATATGTCAGTTAATTTTCGTAAATGTATATCCGCTCTGTGATTCTGAGTCAGGTAGATGGTCCTGTAAAATATATACAAAATATTACAATGTATCCAGATTATGCAGACAACCTTCTACAATTAGGATGATAATTATTTATATGCAGGTTACGGGTTAATCAAACAATTTACGCACTTACAAAGAGATAATTAAGTCTTATCATCAATCAACTTCAGTTTAGTGTGGTCATTTTAACTAAAAATGCATAAATTTAAATGTGAAATCTTATTATAAGTCAGTTGTTCATTAACAGCTTTAAATAAAACATCTATTCATACTTCGGTTCAAGAAAACATTCCTGGATTTCGGCAATTTCTAAAATTGACTGGAAATCTAATACATTTATCAAATCGTGTTTTTAAAATGGGCGGTGAAAATATAGGTAAATAAGCTACTGGTTTACGAGTAGATTTAATAATTTTTATTAATTATAATTTGATTATTTTTTATAAAGAAAAATTTAAACCTAATAATTAATTATAATCAAAAACTCGTCATGATTCTCTAATACTTTGCTCTACCGAACTATTTTTAAAACTTTCGGTAGTGTACGATACTGATTTCATAATTGCACCTGGTAGCAGATAACTAAAAGTTCTATGATTTCGTATAAAAGAAGAAATATTTTCAATCAGTTTTCACTTTCTGAGTTTCTGGACGAAAAACAAGAAAAATCTCTTTTTAACATTATGGATGATAAGAAAAATTCCATAATTTGAGACAAAAATAAAAACATTTAAAAAATTAACTTTGTTCTTTAACTTAAACTAACAATGCAAGTCTTTTGCGTGTGAAACTCAGATATCAATGGGACTCATTTAATTTTTTTCATCACGAAAAACAAGCGCACCCGTATTTTTGTATTTATCCAAATGCGCCAATTTGAGCGCTAGGTGCGAATTTTGAACTGTTTTCTGAGATCTCGGTTCTTATACATAAATGCTGTAAAGACAGTGATCGAATTTGACGGTAACCGTGGGCCCCTTTGCATTGTTTTTCATTTATTATAATGCAAGATGCTGGGCCCCCTTATTAGATAAGATATTAATAATTATTTTTAGCTGTGTGGTAACAAGTGATGCACATTTTGGAATATTAAGCGAAGGAGTAATACGTACATATTTGAAGATATTGGAAGCGAGATGTCAAAAGCCGATGTTAACTTAATTTCATAACGACGTTTACTTGAATGTTAAGGATCATATTTATAATTGTATACAATATAATTTGTACATATAACACAGATATTATACACACAGATAGTATATACATATTTATGGAGATGCATAAATCAGCACCTTTAACTTCTGGGTCCGAAGAATATTCGATCCATAGATCGTGGGCTTTGTTGGCTGTAAATCTTGATTCAATCTTGGCTCGCACGATGTTGGGAAATTCTGAATTCAGTTTAATTTCAAAGATTGGAGAATTGTTCATGTGCAGATTAGCGTATCTCTTGGCCAATCCAATCTGATACACTCCAAGGGTAATGTCCTCTAAATCGTCAACGGAAAGCTTCGGGAATTTTGGAAATTCTTTCAGCGAGGCTGTCTTCCATTCCTTAGTCCGGCGATCCATCTTCTCGTCCTCCACTCGCTTTTGTAGTAAATTCTCCTGGTCAGCAAGTCCCAATGCTCGTTCGGCTATCTTATCATGCTTGGGTGAGTGGGTGGAGAGAGGAGGGCAGAAACAGTTAATAAGGGCGCAACCAATTCTGAAGAACATGGGCAGCTTCTCAAGGTATCCTGCAATTAATCGCACAGTGTAATAACTTTAAAACTTGTACCAACATACATTGACATTGGTACGCATAAATTATTACATAGACTTACCTCCTGGAACCGTCTCTCGAAATAATTTGAACTTTTTCTTGATTCTTCCATTTACTGCCTCCACCAACCATCTGACCAACGTGACCCGTCTTGACTCATTTCCTTGCGAAGTGGTGAATTGTTTATCATCGGTGTCTAGTAGTTCCGGCATATGTGTGAGGTGTCCAAGGCGAAGAAGAGTCTGAATCACGTCTATGAATCCCTTGTCCAGAATGTGGTGATCGCCCGGTTTCAAGTAAGGTGAATCAGGTGGCAGCTCCGACAAGATGGATTTTAAGATCCCAGCGTCGTTATTCGCACCTGCAATTAAAAATTACGGATTATTTGACAATTATGTAACTTGCAATGGATTATACATTTTGCTACATCTTCCAGCTTTGCCGCTAAAATACACTTACCATTTGCATAATAAGGACCACACGCAGCCAAGATATACCCTGACGGAAGAACTATCATGAATGGTTTGATCAAATTGCGTTTTTTCTGCCCAGAATAAGTTAGTTTCTGCAGGTGAAAATCGGCCGGCTTTTCAATATAAATATAGGTTCCATCCATGATAAGAAACAGCTTAGTTGGGTCTTCTTCTTTAAATAGCTTCGAGTATATGGGACGAGAGTGGTCACGGAGGGCTGCTTCACGGGACAAGTGTTCAAATCCGAGGTATTTCTTGACAAAATGGTTGTCTAGCGCTGTAGCGACTGCATCAATGGTCTCACTTACGCATGATTGATTGGGGATTCCAAAAAGACTGCCCAGCACTTTCTGCATACAAGAGTACTTCAGCATTAAGTATTCATTCTAATAAATTTTGCGGTAAGAATAAATCTTAAATATTAATACCTGAGACAAGTTGTGGCGAAGCAGCATAAGGAAGATGGCCAACGCGTTTCGGACACTTCTGTTGACACTGTTATGTACATGACCGGATATTTCTGTCAGCAGCGAGTTGAACTGAATTTTCGAGAATCCGACAAGATTTGGGTAATCGTCCTTCTCCACGTCAGTTGGATCGTCGAAATTATAACGACGTCTTCGAGCACCTAACTTGTTTTTATTGCTGCTGAGATCCAAAATCCACTGTGCAAGCTCTTCATCCGACATCAAGACACCATGTTTAGTTGGGATGATCAACTCTATCGCCTCATCAGTGAACAATTGTCTCTCGAGGTGCATAGCGCAGCAGCGATTGTCATGTGGTATGAATATTTCTTTCTCGGTCCAAACTTGAGTGATGGCGGATTTCGGAATTCGCTTTCTTCCAGAAGGGTTATTACATATAAAGCATCGCTTCTGCGTGGATCCAACAGAGTCGATAGTTGGTAGTCGCCGGGATTTGGTAGACGTTGAGTTTGACATCGATATTTGAGAGATGCATGATCCGTGGGCCTGAGAAGAAAGAGCTGACGCCTGTGAGTCATTTCCGGTAGTGGTCATCGTGATAATAGTTCCCTGAGTGCTCCATTGTGATTCGATTTCGCTTCTGCTACTTATGGATATAGCCATTGAATCCTTGTCGTGCCATTGAGAAATTGCGCCATCGTCGAGTGCAGTATCAATATCTTGTCCACCTGGTAAATGATAAGGTAATTACGATATTATTGTCATAATTTAACATGCTGGACTCACCGTCTAAACGAAAGTCGTTTAGCTCCATCTCCAATAATCCATACTCGAAGCGGTCAATCTCTTCTCCCCCAGCATAGTCGTCGTGAGCCCCACAAAAATAGTCGTCGTCACCTCCATCTTCACAACCCCGACAGTCATCTTTCTCAGTTCCACGAGAACTATCTTCATCACTACGAACTTCCTCCTCAGCGCCACGATCACCGTCTTCATCACCGCCACGACGATCTTCCTCGTCAGCGCCAATTGCAGCGTCTGCATCACCGCCACGACGATCTTCCTCCTCAGCGCCACGATCACCGTCTTCATCATCGCCACGACGATCTTCCTCCTCAGCGCCACGATCACCGTCTTCATCATCGCCACGACGATCCTCCTCAGCGCCACGAACATCATTCTCTTCTCTTCTCATATTTAACCTGGTTCGGCCAGGTAGAATGACACCCTCGTCCATTACTTGAGGTTTTGACCGTCGGAAGTGCTTCGTCGCTTCATCTTTCAGTTGTGAGAGAATCTGCATAAAAGGTGAAAATTAAATATAAATATTACTAAACTAAATTAAATATTGATTGTACCTTGACGTGGCATGCTTCGCAAATGACCTCAGTTTTGTGCGCCTGCTCCGAATTTTCAAAAAGTCGACTGTACAAGGGCCAAAGTGCAGGAGCTCCAAGTCGATGGCGTTTCTGATTTGACTTAATCCGTCTGTGACAGTCCTCCAAAAAACAGGTAGTGTGTGGCATGATTGAAAAAAAATCAGCAGGATTTGTGGAAAGATCGATCGAGTTTTTTTTTATTTTCAAATAATAATAATGCAGAAATATGAAAATACAACTCCGTTTAGTTACCTCTAACAACGATGCACAATGCAATAAATTAAAATGCATGGGATAGTATGGCAAAAGTGGTGGTGGTTAGCCCTAAAATAAGTGATGACTGCAAAATGTCCCACTTTTTGTTTAAAGTTAAATTCAATCGTCAGAATGTGCAGAAAATTTTAAAACACATTTCAGAAATGGGACATTTGGCAGATATCATTTATTTTGGCTCTAAAGTTGCTCATGAAATTCGATCACTGTCTTTCCAAAAATTTCGGGAAAATTGACATGGTTCTCCGTTGTAGTAACTAATTTATTGAAATTTGTTGCAAAGGGAATGGTCAGCCATGTGCAGTCTCGAATGAAAGCAGTCGGATCACCTCGTTGATGTTCATCTCGTATTTGGTTCTCTTTGCGCACTTCTTTTACAGTTCATACTTCTCCAAGAGGAAGAAAGAAGTGTGAGAAAGGATATGTATTCACATTTGTGGAAATTAAATAAATTACTGTATTCCCAACCAGCTTATATTTTTCTGATTGAACATTGAGTCACGAATAAAATACCATGCAATATTGCTTGTCCTGAAGTTACGAAGAAACATGCTATAAAGGTTAATTGATTCTTAACCAACCTGGTACTACATTTTAATACACTCCTAGCAAAATTTTATCGAATTATTACCAGCCTGAGTCAATATATTACGGGCATTACCGTATTCAAATGAAGTACACCGTAGTGGCCGTGACGTGAGAATTTACTACTAACAAACAAATTGTTACCAATCCGGGAGGAAGTTATTAACAAATCTATACCCGAACCGAGTGTAAAAATATTTGATTTATCTAGCTCTTTAATCATCCGTACGTTGCGTTCAACATTACATCAATTATTCTTTTGTACACTAAAATATAAGAATCTTTCGCTATAGCAAAGTCCAAATGCGTAAAGTGTTTCGAGTCTACTTTGATACATTCTTTCAACGCGTTTTTCGGAATTTTCGACACCATTTTTGCAATATCCTGCAAAAAATTTATTAGTCATTTACATATGTATAAAACAGGAAACCAGAAATCAATGCACTAAATCCACGCACCACTGAACTTTAACAGAAATTGAGAATTCTAAGAAACTGCGCCACTGACAGTCACAAAATTCCCCTTCAACATTATTTGAGTGAATTTGAGACTGACATTGGTGTAGTTTCTCAGAAATATCAATTTCTGTAAAAGTTCAATCCTGCGTGGATTTAGTATAAATAAATTTTAATATGCATATATCTATTATATATTTTACCTGTGGTTTTGCAAATACATCATTTGCACCCCAAAATACGAGTAATGGGCTGGAAATATTGTGCATGTCATAACAGGGCGGACTACTTCGGCCATACCGTAATTTGTTAATTGCTCCAAATCCGTAGTTAAATTGACAAAATTTATTGGTTTTCATCAATTGCAAAAGATGTATGTACGCTTTGGTAGACGTGGTCACTGGGAAGGTACCAAGTAGGTGACCAATTGTGGTCTTAAACAGATAAATATGTATTTGCACAATTTCTTGATAACAGTCAATTAATGTACATATATTTTCGTAACATACATAATTTCTGTGAGGACCGTTATATCCAAACCTTGAGAAAAAAATGTTCGAACATATTCCTGCGAAATGAAAAGTTGTCTTTAAGTTTACAAATTATAGTAGATATTTATTGAATGTGATCTGTACATAGGTACATATGTATGTACACTACACATGTACTCTTATTTTATTTGCTGTAAAATCTCGTGGTAAACAGGTTTCCACCTGCCCCACACAGTTCGCACCCAATTCCATTCAAAGCTTATGGCAACTTAAAACTTTAGACATAGGGTTTTGAATGGAATTGGGTGCGAACTGTGTGGGGCAGGTGGAAACCTTTTTACCGCGAGATTTTATAGCCAAAAAAACAGGAGTATGTATGCATACTTACCGCATGCATATTTTTCATTGGAACAAAGATGAGCTGGTGATGACCCGAACAGTAGGTGTGTCTCAATTTCAGGGTCTAGTCTACCAGCGACAAGTGTGTTCGAGATGTACTAGAATGTAATTAAAATAATTCCTTCCAGGGATACATAACATTAAATGAGTTTTTCTGAACATTTTTTGTTTGAAATTCGCTTGCCTGATAGTAATTCACGAAATTCAGGAACGGTTGAATATACAAAGCAGTGTGACCTAGATAAATGGAAGGGCCGAGTAGAAATGCGGTAGCAATGCGCGGGTTGTATTCTGGTCGCTCGGCGAGCATAACCGCCAGCAGAGTGGCACCCATGCTTATACCCACGAAATACATGGACTGCTGTTTCGTGATGTCTGTAACGGTTTCAATGACGGCGGGAATGTCGAATATCCCCATCTCGTGAAAACTAAAGAGAAAAATATAGAGTAGGGTAATACCAATACCCCCTTAATAAAAAGGGGGAATGGGTGGGTAATCTACTCAATTAATAGATATGTAAATACATACTCTAATTGCGTAATGAACTAAGGTTAATCGATTTACGAGTAATGCACATATTGCATACCTGAAATCCCAATATTTCCAATTATCCAGTGTCATATCGGGGTTTATATGCCCTTGAGAATAGCTATTTCCCCGAGAATTGGCAATATACACGTCAAACCCCGAATCGGCTAGTAGAATTCCTAAAAAATATCAATCAGTCACGTCAATTTTAAAATACAACCGTTCACTTATTTACAATTCGCCACCAAATATTTACGTATGTATAGAGCAACCTAGACCAAAAAGGGCGAAACCATTGGCAAGGAGCCCATGTTGCAGTATTACAGCTTTTTTGACGACGCCTTCCACCAAGGGAGACTTTGGGCTGAAAGGGATTCGATAGAGGCCTAAAATGTAGCCATCTTCCGTAGTCACGTTTATACGTTGTACCGGATATCCTAACCGGTTGAGACGCTGGTCCTGAAAAAAAGTGTCGGATTTGTTTATTAGGCGGTAACTCTAGTTGTTAATTAATTATTTCATAAATTTACAAGAGTTAAACCAATCAGAGCTCGGTGTGCTTCAGGGTCCCGTAAATCTTTGAATCGTTGGTGACACTCGCGTTTGTCTTCGGGCGACATGGTCCATCTCATCTCGGGAAAGTCCTTCTCCCAAATTGCATTATCCACAAATCTCTGTCTCAACGGGGGGGAGAAAATGGACAGCAATATCTGCACTGGAAGCAGGGTTGACTTCATACTTTCAATTATCTAAATATTTCAAAACTTAATTTTTATTATTATTAGAAACAAGTTATGCACGTGGTAATAATTCATTACTCAGAGAAGGGGATTTACTCCAGTTTAATTTATTTGTTTTGTGAGATGTGTATAAGTATATGTATGTACATAGTGTAGTCATAAGTTTAGAAAATTGTGGTATTTATTATTGGGACGAATTGATAAATTTATGAATTTCTATATGCAATTTTAATTAATGTACGTACTAATTGCAAATTACATTAATGTTCAAAAAACAAATTCCTTTCAAACTTGAGATCCATACTGGTCACGTATGTATGTAGTTGGAAATCTATTTAAGCAAACTACCCAATCAATTATGCAATAAAATTTATTGTAAATGTGTACATACATGCAAATGATGATTCGTGTATGTACTTGTGTTACTACTCCTGCAATGTATTATACAAATATGTATACAAATTTATATAAGGACTTACTCCTTAAATACACATGTGCATTCACGTGTACGATTGAGGCACAAATGCAGTTATTGTTTAGCTCATAATTTTGTGATCTTTTCGCCCTTGAGTTTCCAATGGAAGACAGACAAGGAAAATGTGCATAAAGCATGTTACAACTAAATAGGTGAATTAAATTCATTGAATTTATGTATGTGCATAATACGTATCCGCAAATTTTTACGTTTTGCATTATTAATAACTAAACATGATTTAATTAAATCCATACTGGAACAGAGTTCCACTTCTGGTCGCACTTTTCATATCTCTTTATCTGATGTTGCAGGACACCTTTTAAGACTTCGAAATAAATGGAAGGAGATGCATACGAATATTTGTTGTACACAACTTTCTTCAAATTAAAGTAAATAGCTATTATTAAAAATTGATAAAAATTGATTGTTGTATTATTATTATTATTATAAATTATATTGTTAAATATTTATACTATGCTATATACAAATTAGTTTTTGGTTTCATTTAAAATAAAAGGCTTTGTCTTCTCCAACCGCTGTTATGCAGTTTTCAATGTTTAAAAGTCTTATCGAAGTTGGTCGAATCCCGCGTATCCGGCGTCGATCAGAACTGGAACTCTGATATGTGCTAATGAGAAAATAGACTAAACAGAAATCCCAAAAAGTTAAATATCAGCAATGATCGTGGGGGAAGTATGCGAGATGTTACACAGTAAAATTTGTGTATCCCTTTATAAATAAATAAGTATGGAAATAACGAGGTAATTAAATTCGTGTATGCACTAATTGTAACACCAAAGTTTAAAAATGTTTTACATGTTACCATCACGCATTTTCCTCCTCGATAAACCAAACATTAACGGTTGACCTATTTTACCTCGTTTTAAATAGTTCATCCTGCATGCAAAATCTTTCGAAATTACTTCTGGACAAGGAAAACACCAGTCTTCATTTCCATGCATGAACGCGTATTTATCAGTGGAGCGCAAAACGTACATGCCATGTCCATTATTGTGCTGAACATACATATTTACTTATGTCATGCTTGAATCCACATATTTGTGTAACTCGGCCTCATATATTTATATGCATATTACATTTTATTATTAATTATTAGTCTTCTCCGTCTTAAATTAAATTTTAGTTACACTCAAAAGAAAATCGTAACCAAATCAATTCCGGGCGGTGTCACTATGTGACTTAACCGTATCGGAATTAATTCAACTACGTGCGGATATAATATGCTTCACCACAGCGGAATCATTTGTTAAAGCGAAGGTAACAGTATCTACACCGTTCGGGGACGACTGTTTACACGATGCCGGTGCTGGTTTGTAACAGGACAGAGTTAAAATTAACACCGCCTTAGTGTAACGTTTGATTCCCTTAGGAGACGATTTGAAATTATATAACCGGCATGGTAATGTTGATCGTCACAGATTCTGGATTTATTTAATCTTTCAAATTTATAAAAATTTACAAAATTTGTAGTAATTGTTACACCGTATACATAGTGGGGTCATAAGTTCTCGTGAATGCATTTCCGGTAATAAATCCCAAAGTATTAGAGCTATCTGTTCGAAATTTTTATGGATTAAGAAGCTATTAATATTGTTTAGAAATCATAACTTCTTTGTCAAGATTTCGTGCACGGGCAATTAGACAAGACATAACTCGTGACGGCCACAGGTTGATCGTGGTACGCGCCAATTTTCGTGCCAAAAGTATTTCAGACTTTTCACCGTTGGCAAAAAATTTAATAGAAAAAAAGGCCAGATATTTGTTGTACAGAAGTCTGACATCCGTTTAAGTATGCGGAAGTCAATACGAAGTCATCACCGTGGTGTGCATGGGAGCAAGTTGGCTGGAGAAATGAAATCTCTGTTTTTTATCGCAAAGGGTACAAGTTGAAGCCAAGAATTATTTTCAGAGTGTCCTAAAGCCAAACGTTAATAACCTGAACCCTGGACCCTCCGAAAATCGACATTGGACCTTTCAACAAGACTCTGTTCCTGCGCAAGGTGCAAAATTGTCCAAAACTGGCTTCAGACGAATTTTCATGACTTTTTTTCATCCGTAGAACGGTGCTCAGTATCTGCAGACCTTAATCCCCTAAATTATGACTGGTGGTCAAAATTATAGGTACAAGTATGCTCTAAATTTCACCCAAGTGTGGAAGGGCTGAGGTCGCACTTACTGAAGATCTGGCGCTTTTCCCAGGAAATCCGTGCGTGCCGCGATCGAGCAGTTTTCGCCACGACTTATGTCTTGTACAAGCCCGTGGAGGAAATTGTGAAAACGAAGTTATGATTTCTAAACAAGATTAATACCTTGTTCATCCACAAAAATTTCTATCAGAAAGCTCTAATACTTTGGGCTTTATCACCGGAAATGCATTCACGGGAACTTATGGTCGGACTATGTAAATACAATCTACATATTTCATATATAAATATTTTTAAGTAAGTACATACTTACATACAGGATCCGCTACTAACATGTGAACGCGGTCACTCTTGAATTGCTCCGAAACGGGTTGGAGTTTCGGTTCCAAATTTTGAGCATAGCGACATGTGATTGTTGACTAGGGCTGAGCAAAAAATTAGCTCTCTAGATTCAAAAATGACCCTACCATTGACCTTAGAGTAAGAGGGTACCATAAAAACACTTTCCAAACTTAATTCTTCGTACACAGACATACACTCCAAATAAAGTTGAGTAAAATTTGCGATGACACAACTGGTTGTGCAAAATTTACTCGACGAAGGTAAAATTTACTCAAGGTTGAGCTAAAATTCCACAACGTTGGATAAATTCTAACTTTCATGGTGTAAATTTTACTCAACCAGTTGTGTCATCGCAAATTTTACTCAACCTTGAGTAAATTTTAATCAAATTTATTTAGAGTGTAATCAACTACTTCAAAACTCAAGGACAACAAGTTTCGAAAACAGGGATACATAGGGTACTGATAAATGAAGGTCAACAACGACAAGCTCGTACCAAAGGACAACCATCATGCCTCAAACCCGAGTCCGAAAAGTGCTAATTCGGCCAGTGCTTAAGAAAATTGACCTATTGACCTCTAAGGGCAACTCACCACCCCAGAGAGCAGTGGCACGTCTAACCAAAGTGTCATAGATTAGTGTGCGACGAGCAATTAAAATTTTGCAGAAGCAAAAAAGAAGAAAAATCCGAGTCCAACAGCTGACTGAGAAGCATAAAAAAATCGTCGTCTGACCTGCAAAAAATTTTATATGAATTACCTGACAAAAGATAAAAGTGACTTTTTAGTGTCGTTAGATGAAGAATTATTTTCTTTAAAGATACCAACGGTCAGAGAAAAATTTACTGTACAACCAAAGAAGAAAATAATTCCAGAAGATTGACCATCCCGCACACGGAAAACTTTTGCAACAAGTTCATAGTGGTTAGTGCATTATCTGGTCGTGGTGTCCTCCCACTTATCAAAGTTTCTCAAAAAGTGAAGGTAACTGCGAAGTACTATATTGACTTTGTTTTAAAACCGCTTTTGGAGATTCATGTCCCAAAACCATATGGCAAGGACACAAAAAAATTGATAGTTCATCACGACGCAGCGTCATCACACACCGCCCTTTTGACCCAGGATTACGCCAAGGACCTGAAAGCTAGACTCGGGATAACAATCATCTCAAATAGTGAAATGCCTGTTAAGTCACTCTATGTAAGTCCCATGTATTTATTCGGCTTTGGATATCTGAAACAAAATCTTTTCTCCGCCACCCAAAAACTTTCGACGGAGTTTGGAAAGTTATGGGAGACGAGTGGTCTAAAGTTGACTTCGCCATGGTCAAATCAGTGTACAAAAGTTGAAATCGCCGATACCGACTTGTAGCTCGAGAAAAGGGCTTTCACATAAAAAATGTTCGGGACCTGCACTCCAAGCCGTTCAACCAGTAATTGAAGGTCATAAACGTTCACGTGTTAGCGGCGGAGCCTCCGTATGTGCATACATAAATGCCATAAATTACTCAGTTTTGTGATAACTCAATACATACAATCGTGTATTAAAAAGTCATTAAAATCAATTAACTCGCAATAGCGAGTACAATTATAAAATCAGATATTATCCCAAAATTTGAATAACTCGGCCCCATTCCAAAACAAACTAATAAATTTCGGTACCATATCCTAATTGTGGTAAATACAATTTCTTTACACTCTGGACAACAAACATTTTTACGTTTACTAGTGAATAACTTAATTCTCTACTGTTGAAAATGTTTTTCGGCTGTCTGTAGAGTTGTTTATCTTTGTGGGTCATCTTAAATTGCTTCCGCCAAGGTCTGAGCTGCTAGCGGCAAGATTAGACGGTGGCAAACAATGTAGAAACTGGATAATTGGTGTTCCATCTATATACATACATGGAATAAATGACTATTAAAAATTACCGACATACTTAACTCATCCGATATATTTTTAAAGTTTGACTTAGAAAGAAAATATTTTCACCTTTTAATACAAAAGAACAATTAAAATAATTTACCACATATGGAGAGTCCAGCGTGACCTCAAAAATTTCGCTTTTCACCAGGAAATTGACATCAGGGATTTTATGTTGCTTGAGAAGGACTTCGGCATCAATTGCCTTTCAGCACGATCGCATCCACTAGATTTATTTTAAATTTATTTTATTAAAAATACTTACCTGTGAATAAAAACTATTTAATTACATAAAGATTTAAGTCGAGAATTAGTAAACTTACATGTTCCGATGAAATTCAGAGAATTAGTTGGAGAGACAATTAATTTCTTCAAACTCGGACTAATTTTTCTCCACGTCGCTGCTTGCGGTTCAGAAAGCAAGCTAAAAAGTTGAGCTTGCCGGGCCGAGAGGAGTGCGAGTTTGTTACATTTTTGTAATGAAGTCCTCACCGACAGAATTGAATTTGTTTCCGCTCAGTGTTAAATATTGTCACGCTTGACGGAGAAGATCCAATTCCGCTCTGATGTTAAATGGGTGTTAATTTCAATATATTAGGGTTACGCTTTTACTCCGTAGCGTGTTGAATTTAGTACTGCAGGATGTGGACTGCGTTAATATTAACGGTGTTAACCTTCCATATGCGGGGATACAATTTTGGAGACAATATTATCTCCGTGTCCGTGATGTTCGTTAACACAATCGAGTAGTTATGATTTTTTGAGGATTTTAACACCGGTTTGCTAAGAGTGTAGATTTTTTCCTTATACTTGCTAATCCAGACTTTTTAACCTAATTCTAAAAACGGCGTGTTCAAACTCTGCGATGTAATATAAACCCCCGGATTTCAAAGCAGTGGTAACAGTAAGTATATCAACGTCAATACACGTGATCTAATTTCAGTAATACCGCATTTTGAAAATTTTCCCAATTTTGAGTCTTAATTTTCAGAATTGTTAAAAATCATGGAAGGCTGCAAGTTTATCCAGGATCCATTCCAAATTCATGGGACGTTTTGCGAAAAGATTTGCAACACGTTAAGGAACTGGGTCTATTTGACCGTTACAAAATTAAATACAATGCGAAAAATTAAAACCTTATTATTATTCGTGTAGTATTTCAGGTCAGGGGAGGTACATAACTAATGTAACGCAAAGGTCCGTATCTCATGTCCCATGTTATACTTAACATCTCATATGTAAAGCTTTACATAAGCAATGGACAGCGGCTCACTCATACATTAAGCACAAAATTATATATTAGTTGATTGTGCGATGCAAATTATATATGTTTCTATATATTTGGAGTTATCTGCACCAATATCGTAGGATTTAGATTATGTACATAGTTTGCGAAGCACACTAATAAATACGATTATAAAAATATGAACATATGATATTTTACTGTAAATAAATATCTTAACCACAAGAACTCCTGATGGAGACAATTTACTCATTGTCGAAGAATTGATCATTTTTTATTCCAGTATGTAATGACAACGGGCATATATTTTACAATTATGTATCTTCTCAATAGATTTTGTACTAAACGGCATGAATTTCGTGGTGTATATGGAACAGTAGACCATTTATTCAGCCCGTGTTAATGCGAGAAAGATAAAACAAGGCTTTCTTGCCTATTTTCTCGTATCTACATTATATGTATGTATGTACTAACTGTATTATGTACGTTAATGTAAGAAGCAACGTAGTGTAGGTATCGGGAGAAAATGCGTATTGAAGTTAAGAAATAAATCTGGCAAATTGTACATTTAATTTTACACATAATTTTAAGCCATTCACATTTGTTGCAAAGCGGTTAATAAAACCATTGTTATGCTGAATTATTTAATTGAAATGGATTGAATTGAGTAACGGAAGTCATACGTAACATGTATATGCTGAAGGGATATATGCACATATGTAAAAGGGAGTGTGCATGGGTCGTTCATAAAGGGTGGGACTGTAGTACATGGTATTTATATGTATGAACTTGAACAATTACATAGCATCCTCCGAACATTTATTTTTTGTGTTTAATCCTTTCCGAGAATTTTGAGGAATTATATATTACAAGGAACTGAATTATTTGGAAAAATTTTGTTTCGATTTGATTCCAAAGCAACTGTGGGTGATGCTAAAAGAAAACTTGTTTTAACCTGTATGTAAATTTGTCAAAAGAGTTTTTGGATGAATTTATGTAGCTTAGCCTGCACCAGAGTGGATATCTGAATTTTGGATAAAGTACATATCCATGCGAGCCGAATAATTCGGCTCGGTTTAGATATTTTCAAACAAAACATTCGGATTGTTTTTTCGGATGGATCCCAAAAAATGTTCGACCGACTCAACTCTGACCTGCACAGTACACTGGGTAGTTTCCCGTGTAGTATAATTCATACACAAGTATTTATTCATCAGTCAAAGAACTAATTTTCACAACAAAAACTCGCGCAAAAACCAATTCCTATCCCAAATGTTTTCCGTTTCCAAAATTATTTTGACGGCATTCTCCATACACCAAGGAATCGCTACAAGTACGACACGATTCTCGATTACATTTCGCCCCTTCGCGTACAACCCTAAGCGTTTCTAATATTTCAGACGAAGCTATAAAATTCACACCCTCTTTCGCCAACTGAGCGCCTAATTTAAGCCCCCATGAAGAACCCGACCCAGTCGCCCTATCGTAATCCGCACTTATCCATAACTTTTTCAAATTTGGCATGCATCTCGGCAGTTTTATAAGTTTCAGCTGCGGTGAAGAGTTTAATGAAAGATACAAATTTTCCAATCTTTGGCGCTGCCTTTGAAGAAGACATATCAGTGTTTCTTCTGGTGTCGTTTCCCTAAGAACCATTTCAACGGCGATTTTGAAGTAGCGTAGTTGACCTTCCGGTAAGGTCACGAGTTGGGTGAGAAGGTCGTCTAAATTAAACGTTTCCCCACGGTAACCATACCGTCCGGAAATTGTTATTTTCCTTAAATATTTAAAGGCGTCAAAGTCTATCTGAAGTTTAGAAAAATTCGTCACTATGAGCTCCTCAATTCTGGCCGAGGCTTGTAGCAGTTTTGCGAGAGATTTTGAATCCGAGATTTTCTCAAAGTCGTCTGGTTCACGTTTGTAGATTCCAAGCGTAAGCTTTTTCAAGTTTGGAAAGATAAGATCTTCCGGAAATATTGATTTATTTAAGGGTTTTTCATCATTAATCCAACTCATGTTAAGCAGGATGTCGATTTCTTCCAGGGAATGGCAAAATTTAGAGAGAAGGACAGAAGTAGGTGGCAAATACTCTATATTCATGGTGAGAACTTTGAGAGGGTGGAAATTTGATTGGTTTATAAACTGTGAGAAATCCTGGTTGAATTTTATTACTTCTATGTCCAAGTCTAAAGCATGAATAGTGGTCCAAATGGCATTCATTTGCGAGATTTCAATATTCATCGCGTCAAATTTCAGCTCATTCATGTGTTGTATTTTCGAGTAAAATTTCTTCCAGAGGTAGTTGGGGTTAGTGATCAGTCCGTCTGTAATTATGCGAAATTTCATGACGAAATTTTTCTGTAGGACGAGTCGAGCCGAGTCGTTCCATGTTTTCGAGACGAGGCGACAGCTCAAGAGGTCGGCTTGTTTCCATGAAATTTTTGTATTGACCACGTGCTCAAATATGTTTGTGAGGATGACATGGTTTTCAAAAATGGCCGGATAAGTTGGTGACGATTGATTATAAAAATCTAACTTGCGCTTTACTCGGTGGCCTAGCCCCAGTCTCTGTGTTAAATATTTTATAATCATCCGAAATTTTAAAATTGTTTATAATGGGCCAGTTAAATTACTGGATTAACTCCGTAACTCACCGCAAATTTGAATACGACGTATTCTTTTCCCGCTCGATTTTTACGATACAATAACCTCTTCCAGTCTTTATTCTTGACGATGGGAATTAAGAATGAGTCCCAACATTGTGGAAAAATTGGCGAAAAGTAAAAAATATCTCCAAACTCCAACTCGACTGGGTAGTTTTGAATTAGATATCCATTGAGAAAAATATTTTGCCATCCCTGTTAAAATTTGCTAAAATTTGCTAAATTTGTTAAAATTTGCATATTGTCATTAACCTGATTAACTCTTATTTAATTAGACTCACGAATCTACGCAGACAAAATGATCCATATGGATCACATTCAATTTGGAAATGTTGATCAGCAATGTCCGCTTTGTTCGGAAATGTGAGAAACTCTCCATGTTTTTCCGGATTGAAGCTATTCAAATTTTGGCCAGATCCAATCGTGCACTACATAAATGCAGAATTGTTTATTCAGATATTTGGAGAAAGTTTTGTTCTCGCATGCAAATTTAGCTAACCTTTTGACCAGCATTATTAAGAATTACGGCGTCCTGCTCCCATTCAATGGAACTACACAAACAAGCCCAAGCCCCACACCCACTCGTGGCGCGGGTTCTCCCCAAACTTAACAGGGCCCCGTGACACGTCTCATGTTTTATGTAAAGAAGTTCTTCTTCCATTTTCATCCGAGTGGGTTAGTTAATAGCGTCTAATTTGGAACAAAAGATCGTACTGCAAATTAATATTTAGTTAAACAGGCCTGTTGGATGCACTTATTCTACTTGGACACGGGATCCCGATGTCCACCATAATTGCATATCGAGCAGGGCTAGTTTTTTTTAATTTGATACAGAAAATTGGATTGGATTGGTACTTTGCATAATGTGTGTATATATAAATGACAACACTTGGAATCGTTCGAATCGTAGTAAATCTTATTGGAAAAATTAAAACCAAACGATATTGCTTACGACTTATGACGGTTTTTTATAACGTTTAATTTTTTATTTATTCCTTACAAACCCTGTTTTATTACTCTTTGATGCATTCATTTTTTCATGCATTATACTGAGGGTCAGGCGAGATTATAGAACCTCTCGAAAACTACCATTTTTTGGGCGAAATATTCGTTGCTGGATATTTTGAATGATTTCATCGTATTCGTCATCCTTTTCTCATGAGGTATGAAGTTATCATTACCAAAAATCCGGGCTTTTAAAGCCGGCAGCAGATTTTCTTTGAACCACTGTTCATCTAAAAGTTTGCAAAATGCATAAAAAAATTTTATGTCCATTTGAAAAAAGTGTCGATCTGAAGTTTCAAATCAGAATTAAAGCACTGGAGGCGCATAACCGGACGTAACTAGTTTATCTTTATGCAAAATAATTTAAATTCTGAATATTAAAAAAAGAATGGCTGCGAACTGGGTAGTAATCCGAGCGTTGTCAGAGAAAAAGTTTCGCGTCGACCTCATATCTTCTGATCCTCGCTGAAGTTGTGCATATCTTGGTGAATAATTCAGTTCAGTGTGCGCCCAGGGACCTGACACTTCGTGGCCAGTTGATTTTGGATTGATAAAAAAATTATTGCCTTGTCCATATCAATTTTTCTCACGTGCGTCGGGTTTCTTACAGTCCGGGGAGCATGCGTTCGACGGATGTAGCGCCGTCAAATTTCTAGCCTGGTTCCTTTTTTAAACTGAATCCTTTATTTTAGACATTGGGCCATTAGAAATGACAATGTTTTCATCCTGGAGTTGGTTTAGTATTTTTTTGTGCGTCATTATTGCTTGGCAAACTGTTTTAGCAGCATGGAGCTCTTTGGGGTCAAATTTTGGACCCGTTTTCAAAATTTCGAAATTGAGCTTTTGAGTCACGGCGCAGCTTGAACCAAGCTTCCAGAAAAGTTTCGAATATTTGGAATTAGCGCCATTGTTTAGCGTATATGGGCAAATAGCGACAGGTTCTATAATCTCGCCTAACCCTCAGTAAAATAACAATTTTGGGTTTTTATTTTTCTAAAAAAAGTATTGTGACTCGAACGGGATTCAACTATCACTTTTATAATACCTGAGCTGGAGATACATTATGCAAAAAACGAAAGCCAATTTTCCATCTTGAAAATATGTAGCCGTGCACGACATCCGTCCACATGACCAAAACTGCAGTGAGGATTAAGGATTGTCAACCTTACATATTTACATGAGTACAGTTATGATTTACAAAATAATTAAATAATTAAATGTATTGGTTGGGTGTTGGTATGTGTATTATATGTATTTATGTATTATGTATGTGGCTCTGAAGGATGGATGTATGAGATGTGTGTAATTACGATGGGAAAGAATGTTACTCCCAAAGGGACTTGTGAGAGTGGAAGAGATCTTTATTGTAAGGTGGTCAAAGTACAAGTCCACGATCCAATACCGGATCGGTGCATATATGTACGTGCCTCCACTTTCCCGTTCGGGGAAAGTGTAGCCACGTGAACATAGGTATTATTATAGTACATTCTCTTAACGGCTTTTTCCTTTCCTAGTTGACTTCCACTGTCAACTGCTTTTGTCCAAATGAACTAAGTTATGTCTACATTACGAAGCTTGAAAATGTGGTGTTGATAATTACTGATTCGCGGAAATTATGGTCAATTGAAATATAGTAATAACTGGTGGTAATTGGTCTACTATGGTGTGTGTACAATCCACCAAAGTAGAACTCGCACCACTCGAGTTCAATTCATAAGAAACTGAGCATTGTTACTTAAACCGAAATGTATAAGGACATTTAATTATATGAGATTTACATAGTCTGAGTTTAGCTCTGAGAGCCTGAAAAGATAATACAACCAAGTTTTCACATACAAAGTTACATAGGTCTAGTGGTTATTAATTTATGTTAAATACTTAAGCAGTGCATAAATATTTAAATATGTGCAATATTGGAATATAATATAATTTATACAGTGACATTTAATATAATAATCTGAAATTTAAATTATCAGTATAAATTTGAAATTGCTATAATGATAAGAAATTTGAATATATTTAAAATTTGATATCTAATTATTCCATAGTATAATTAGTGTTTAAAATTATAACATGAAATAATCATTTAAATACAAGAGTCTTATACAATTTTCGTCTAATATTAAAATTACACACAAAATGAGACACACTTATGCGTACATAAAAGCGTGTGTATCTCATGTAGAGCCGTTTTTCTGATCGTCGTCGAGGAGGGGTTTAACAGCATTTGGACTTGAATCGCAACCAATTTGTAGGAATTGTAGGCCTGGATGGGTTTTCTCTCGTATTATGAATAATCGTATTATGAATATTATTATCGATGTGGTGTGGATTTTGGGTTGTAGACTTTCTTCCATATCCAGTAATACATGTTTGGAATAGATTCTTAAGTGGGTGTGAGCTTGCGTGGAAAACAGAGAAGGAGATTAAACGTTGCGATTTATGGGTCCTCTTGTCCTATCGTCATAGGGGAAGGTTATCGGAGCGTACTCAGCGGGGATACATGAGGAAATGGGGGGTATAATCAATGGTTGCTTCAGGGGCGTAGTTTAGCCATTGGTTTTCTTCCTAGGGGAATTTATTCCTTGTGGTATTTGGGGTATAGGTTTTCTTCCGGGGGGAATTATGTGGGTGTGACGGGGTGGCACATTATGGGTTTGACTTATATAATCTATATCTAATCGGGGTGGGAGAACGATGATGGGAGATTTTACAAAATAATGATAAAGTAACAAAAGCAGTCTACTCGCTAGTATTTATATATAATATTATATTAAAGGTTGGGAGATGGAATGGGGCGGGTAGGGGGGAATTATTGATAATTATGGGTTGATGAGTTCAATGGGTGGGGCACTATATTTCTTCTTCTGTTCATTCTTTATCGGAGACTTCATAAATCCGTCCGCCCATCCACGTCTGAATTCTGAAGAACTTTAAGGATCCGGTGTTCTAACAGAAAGCAGAGGTGAGCAGTTTATTGGTGACACAGCAACCTTACTGACTGATGGACCTTGTCACTACTTGTCGTCACAAGGGTGGCAAGTTGAGTAGCTCGACTCCATATAATTAAATTTGTTTTAACTCCATCCCTGCTCGCTGTCCTCTGTGGTAAATATTTTGTTATTATAAATGGGGTTGATTCTGAGGACGGGGTATTTTCGCATGACGGTTTGACGTGGGAGAAAGCTGTAATAAGTTTAAACGGGACGTTGTGGAGAGAGCCGTAACCAGGTAACCAGGGAATGGTGACGAGAATTCATGAGAGTGCCCAGATAACAGGTCGCTATGAATTCGCTTAGAGAATTCGCAGAGAATGTCGCGTTAAAACAGAGAACTCGAATTCTCTAAGATTTCGTTATTATTCTCGTATCGAATTCGCATCGAATTCGGTAATTATTCGTATCTAAATTCGATATTACGCTCATTTCAGAATTCGTAATGAATTAGACTCGAATTCTCAGAGAATTCTTCTATCGAATTCGAAACGACTTCACTATGAATTCTTAAACGAATTCGCTGTTATTGTAGTGAGGAATTCTCCCCGATTTCGATAGGAATTATTCTTACAGGAATAGGAGACTATAAACTGTTCGCCTTGAATCTCGAATTCGTAAATAATTCTTAGAGAATTCACTGTGATTTCTCTCTTTCACGCTGTTATTGTATTTTTAAGTAATTTTAGCTGCCACATTCAAATCTATCCTCATGGGAAGGAGACGACTTTTTCAGTTGAGTGCTCGCTACAAAAGAAGACTTGTAAAAACACCAAGTGAAATTTTCGAGGAAAATTTAAATAGTGACCTAGTCCAGGCCGAAAGGGAAAACATTTATTCAGAACAAGTGTTCGAGGAAGATCTGGAAGAAATTGAAGTCAGAAGTAAGTTCAGCTGAAACTATTAGCTCAGAAAGTGAAGGTGAAATTGATATTTTTGATATTAGACATAGTATCCAAAATTGGTCCCTTGAATTTAAAATTCCTCATAATGCAATCTCATTATGCAACACTCTAAAACATTTTAAAAATATGTTAATCTCAGATGCGGTAGCAGCTCACCCTAGGACTCCAAATCATACACACGAGGGCACAGTTGACGAAGAAATACAAAAATCTCTTAAGAAAGTCGCAGATAGAGTTGGGAAGCGTATGAGGTACAAATATATACTATCGATAATAACTGTTGCAAAAGATTTTGGGAATAACATTAGTATATTTTCAATAGGAAGTGACTTAACATCGCGGCCAATTTCACTACCAGGGTCATCTGATTATTCAACTTATGTCTATTTTAATAGAAACAGTTATGTATATTACATAATATTTAGAATAAATAAAATAAACTATAAGCTGGGTTAACTCGAAATATAGGAGAAATCGTATCGATTTATTACTTAATTCGCAGTGAATTCGTATAGAAGTCGCATTAAATTCGTGGAGAAGTCGCATTGAATTCGTTTAGAAATCGTTATAAACTCTTACATGTTCATCGAATTCAAGACGAAATCGCGAAGACTTACCGGCGAAATCGATATACGATTCTCCATCGATTCCCTGTCGAATCGGCGGACATTTCCCTTCGATATCTCCTCGAATTTATCTCGAAAGTTGGAAATTCGAGACGAATTCGATATCGATATCAAAGCGAATGTAATATCGAAACATAAGAGAGTTCAGAGCGAATTGTTATCTGGGTGGTGTGGTGTTGGGTGGGAAGGAAGAGTTGAAAACCCGGGTAAATGGGCTCCAGGTTTAACATGGGGGAGAATTTACGTAAGCTTGACCGGGTACTCTGTTGTGTCTTGCGTTAGGAATAAGCACTTTGTATTGAGGGAATTTGCATTCTGTCGATATTTGTAATAACCTATGTATTACGCGAGCACGGGGAAGGTTAGCGTTGATAATCTTTTTCGCGTGATGTTGTAAATCGGGATGCTTTCACTTGTTGTGATGACGTGCGAATTTGGGAGGTATATCGGGGGGTCGGTTGGGTAACTTAAATGAACGTCGCGTCAATGGTGTAGTCCTGTTTATATGGTTGTTGCTAGGTAACACCGTCGTCCGCAAAGTAGGTACTGAATGTTGGGGCGCCGACCTTTGATGTCCGCACTGCAGATGTCTGGGTTTATGGCGAGATTTACTTAATGTAAAATTTAACTGGGTTTGGAAGGGCGGGAATTAGTTAGAATACAACGGTTTTCTTGTTTGTCCGAGATTGTGGGTGCGGTTACCTGGGGGATCATTTGGAATCCCAGGACCATCGGAGTCACCAGTTATGATTTACAAAATAATTAAATAATTAAATGTATTGCTTGGGTGGTGGTATGTGTATTATATGTATTTATGTATTATGTATGTGGCTCTGAAGGATGGATGTATGAGATGTGTGTAATTACGATGGGAAAGAATGTTACTCCCAAAGGGACTTGTGAGAGTGGAAGAGATCTTTATTGTAAGGTGGTCAAAGTACAAGTCCACGATCCAATACCGGATCGGTGCATATATGTACGTGCCTCCACTTTCCCGTTCGGGGAAAGTGTAGCCACGTGAACATAGATATTATTATAGTACATTCTCTTAACGGTACTTTAAGAACGACAGCAGTTGTTAATTACCTAGAAATTGATGCAAGGTGACCTTCGATGTTACGCTGCCCCAGCTGAAGTCGATATCTAAATCAAATTAAATCCCAATTACTGGATGGTTTTAGGTTTTTTAAGCATTAATCAAACAGAATTACACTGCGATATTTAATTACGACGATGTTACACACCGAGTCAAGTCACAAAATAATTTTCAACTCATGTGTCAATAATAGGTACATATGCATTAAACATTGAATTATTATCTACTAACTAACTGTACAATACAATACATCATATGTAAATATGTACATATGTATGCATTCACGCCAGTACTGGCGAGATGTCTGATTATCATCATGCCTAGTTTTATGATCAAATTCATATACATATACACGATATTATTTATGATAAGTCTTTATAAATACTGCATTATTACATACATTGAACGGGCATGGCCAAACGTACCGAGCAGATAAATCATATGCAATCATAGGCATCAAGTGTATCACATGCAGGTAAGCCCAACGACGTTAAGCATGAAATCATGGTAATTTACGCATGCACAATATTTACCTCGATGAGTCGCATCACTGCTCGCACCATGCTTAATGCATGGTATGCAATCTTTAGATTGTATGGATGTGTTCACTCCAGTATTACATTGGACGGGCATAAATATCTAACTTATAATTTTCCCATCGGATTATCACCGACTAATGAGCATTTTTAGAAAATTTAACATGTCAGGCTCGTCATTGTGCAGTAAGAACAATTGACATTGAACATACAAATCGTAATTATTTATTTATCTATTCACAGGATTTACTCGGATTAGTCGCATCACCAAAAATGATAAGCGTGTTTAGGCTGTTATAAATATCTATGTATTTCTGACCCACATGTTGAAAAACACTCTTCAGTTGTATAATTCAGTCGCAATTAAAGATTCCAATCATCTTCGAAAGCCGTGCTATTTCAGTTTTAAGTTTAGTCAAGGAAACACATATTCTCGTACATACTTGTCGAATATTTTAACGTTTCATCATTCTTTTACGTATTTTATTATTAAGAATGATCTGTAAATTTTTTATTTTGCAATTGTTAATGCTAAAATTGCAGTGTAGAATAAGCGCACTAGACAAGTTTGCTTATCTAATTACATATGTGTGGCGACTTTTTGTTAAGACTTGTGCTCATTTACATATTTCCAGTTGCAAGAAAACGGAAGAAAAATTTGATACGATCGAAACTCAGATGCAGGATGGGGCCCTGTATATTTTGAATGGAACAAACCCTACGAGTGGGTGTGGTGCTGGTGTTTTTTTCCGTCAGAATGCCTCAGAATGGGAGCGAGAAGCCGTAATTCGTAGTAATGCTGGTCAAAAGGTTCGTTAAATTGGGCTGGAGCTAGCTCTTTATTAACCTCTAAATAAATAAGTCTGAATTTAGTACGCGATTATGTAGTACACGATTATGTAATACACTTTTGCTTAATTTGCATGGATTTTGCGTCCTTTTTTATACAGGGTGGTTTAAACGTCACACAGACAATGAGGATGAAGCATTTACTTGACAACATGGTCAAAGATTTTAGCGATACAAATCAGCACAGCGTGAAGTTCACGTCAACTCCATCACGGATCTTAGCAAACTGTTGTAAACGCCGCAACCTATATAAGTAAATACATATTTATAACCCTGTCGAAAAAATGAAGGCTTTATTTATGTATTATTAGAGATACTCATTTTATAAATTCACTCCGTTTAATTCCAGACTCAGAAAAAGCTTTTGCCGACGTTGACAACGCCACATCAAAAGTTTTGAGGAATCCGTTGGTCAGCTTATCACTAATAGTGGATTCTTTCAACGCAGTAATTTTTCCTTTTTATCCCAGATCCTCGACCTCATCTTGGCCAAACTCGACCTTCTCGATTTGAAGAATTTTCGGCTAGTTTGCCAGGAGTGGGCCGACTTTGGCGCTACTTTCTTAGGAAAACGGAGTTATATCCATGTCAACATGTTTTATCGCTATTATTACTTCAACTTAGGAATAGATGCCTCTATCAACAATAAACTGCTCCAGTGCATCATCATCTCGGACCACAGATTCCACCCGTCCATTCCGTCTGAAAAGAAGGCTGACGTTGTTGCAAAAGCGTTCACCCATGTGGGTCCATTAACTCGTGAAATTAAACTTTTCGTTAGCCGGAAGGAATTCGTTCCAGTCTTCTTGAAAGGAATGAGTCTGTTGGGCTCCACAAAAATCCAACGCTTTCAAATCGTTAACACGTGTGAACACAATAGTTTCGACAAAAACCCTTTCCCGGCGGTTCAAAAACTTCCCCCTCAACCTGACTTGACCTGGATGAGATTGTTTATTAGGCAACCCTTTCCAATCACTACCAAATTTAAATCCCTGTACAAAATCTGGATCGAGTCTGCCCCCAATTTGACCACTTTGGAAGTCACAGGGTCTTTCTATCCAGATTTGGGGGGATGCAGAAGCCTGAAAGTTTTGAAATATAAATTCATCGCTAGGAACAATGTTCGTGACCTCAATTTGGACAATGTGACCGAGATGCTGACACCGGTCAAGGATTCCTTAATCGAGCTGGAATTGTCGGACTGTACCGATGATGTTGGCAAAAAGCGGGTAAGTGCGTAGATATTTCGAGGTATTTATTTACATACATAAGTACTCATCACAACGGCATTTCGCAAATTTACAAAGTTTGGGTTGTGCTGGGATATGTAAAAATGTGATTTCGCAAAGCTATGCAAACTGATGTACACCCTATTTTATTTTAGTTTTAGTTTTATTTTAGTTCCATCTTTTTTGATGGAGTTTGATAAATATTTTTTGCAAAATAATTCAACAGGTCGAAGTCATGGACTGTGTTGATTTGAAAACTAGCTTTGCGAAATTTCGCGGGTTATCTTTTCATGCTCAATGTACGAAGGCTGTTGTGAGTAAGTCGGCCCCACAGAATTAGAGTACATATGTGTATACTTGTATATACGAGGGATCATCCAAGATAATTGGTTTCGCCTTGAAGAGGGGTCATGTTGCCCCACTTTTTCAGTTGGTGTGGAAGATAAACCCATATGTATGCATGTATCTTGGATATCATAGGTTAAAAATTTACGGCCTTGGCCGATCCGAGGAGATCGTTGTGGAGAAACGACGAGTAAAAAATCGCGTCGTTTACACAACTTTCCAGGTTACGCATCCAAAATTTTATGGGGTGCCATTTTAGGCCAAAAGATGACAGAATTATTTTATCCAGTCTACACCTCTAGTGACCACTATCTAAATGTTTCGACATTAAAAAAAACCTCAGGTGGAGGAGAGTTTCAACTATTGATGAGGTGAAAGCAGCAGTTCTGTCTTTTTGTTTATAAAACCAATAATAAAAGCGGGATAGAGTCTTTGAAATCCAAGCGGACCAAGTGTGTTGACCTCGCAGGGGACTATACTGAAAAGTCATAAAGCAAGTACCCCTAATATATTGCTCCTTCAAGGCAAGACCACTTAATTTTGGATGATCCCTCGTACATATATCTGCCCAATACCTGATGTTGTTGATCAGTACTAAATAAATATCTAACTCTTTTTCGTACGCATCGCAGATCCAAACAGTTTGGGATGTTCCCGTGATGTCGAAACTTACCACATTCTCCATCCGTGGAATAAAAATGGACCAAATTGGTCACTTGTTTGATGAGAACAACTTTCCCAAATTAAAAACCCTCTCGCTCCACAATGGATCTGAAGCATCGTTTTTACCTCATCTAAAATTGTGGAGCCGACACATAGGAGTTCGACATCTCGCGTTGACCATTCATTCCTTGGCTTGCAAGGACAAGGAATTTTTGGGAAACATGATCGACTTATTTCCCTCGGTGGAAGAATTCGATTTCACGATTGAGCTCAAAAAAGTTACTTTAAGTTCCACCCTCTACCAATTTATGAAATCCTCCGTGCTGATTGATGTCCTAAAAACTATGTCCGTTTTGAAAGGTAAGAGTGCAGTTAAAATAAATATGCGCGTAAATAATGATTCCAAATTCTATTAAGGGGACGTTCTTAAATAAATTGCGTAACGCTAATAAAAAGCGACTTTTTGAACCCCCTCCTCTACCTTAATGTACCTATGTAACAGAAATTTAAATTCTCCAAAAAAAACTTCAAAATCAGATAGTTGCATTTTAGAGCGACAAAAAAGTTATATAAAGCTTGGCTCAAACCTCACCGGAATTTTCAAACCTTATGCAAGCTTTCGAGGCTTACGCAATTTAAGAATTTCCCCTGATTGATTATATGTAATAGTAATTATGGGCCGTGAAAATTTCAGGGGTTAAAAGTGTCCTGTTCTCGAACTTGGAAGTCACGGAGGAGAACTTTTCTCGCTGCATTGACGATCTCATCTTGCATAGTAGAGGTTTTAAAAGGGTGGAAATCTCTGGTTATAAGGTACATAACTCACGACCAATAAAACTATACATAGATTTTCCCATATTCAATTTTACAATAAATTTAGTTCCAGGAAACCCCAGAAATTTGGGGACGAATTCGACCCATTTTTAAAGCAAGTGGTGCACCCATTCATTTTTCGGGAGGTGTGTTTCCAACAAAATCGGTTAGTAATTAATAACCGACTCTGGATTTTCGGGACTAAAAGCTTGTGCTTTTCCCATTCTTACATGTGTGCATGTAACACGTGTGTGTGCAGCAACACTAGATTGATTTCTTAATAAATAAGCGAAAGTTTCTGTCACATACATACATACGTCCAAATTTTTGGAAATTTATTAACCGTTTTAGTAAGACGATCAACATTTTTGGGATGCTTATTCCAGAATATTGAAAAATGATTAATTTTCCTGTATTTATCAATAGGTTTATGTAAATACATCTGTTACAAAAATTAAAATTATATATTTCTCAGTATGCACAAAATTTAAAAATTATTAATTTCAGAAATTTTTTTCATACATATTTCAGCAGAAATTTTTCTCATATTATATTCCAGAGTTGAATTGGCTCTTGCATAATTTACTGTTTTGAAGACTATAAATACATACATATCTACTTCCATAAAGCGTTAGTGTTAAGTTCTGCCTGGGTCCCTGTGGCTCTCAATGCAAGTTGCCCCGTAGAGGAGACAAAGAAGGAAGCGGAGGTTGCATGCATTTTCTGCATGAGTCTCACTTCGCCTGCACGTGACTTTCACGTACGCTTGCCATCAATCTCAAATTAAATGTCTTTGTATATTTGCAGTGTGCAAGTAAATTGAGTGAGTGAGCAGTATACATACATACATCACTCATCAATAGTAGTTATCATGATAAGTGATCGTGATCAACACTATTAATTAATTATTTTAGTTTGAGAAACTCCACTCACAGCGAGTGGCATATCAATTTGAATGTATTTTTGACGCTGAATCCAACGCCGCCAACGGTTTTGACCTCTGAGGCCCCCCGTGACCTTGCCGTGACCGTGGGGCCAAATATGGCTTATTCGTGTTGTCGCATATCAATTCGAATGTATTTTTGACGCTGAATCCGAATCCGTCAATAGCTTGGCGTTAATTGTAGAAGTTAACGGGGTTTATGGAACTTAACGGGAGCGTGAAGCGTGGGAATTTAAGTAATTAGCTATTCAACTACTCCCACGCGACGGGAACTTAAGTAATTAGCTATTCAACTACTCCCACGCGACGGGAACTTAAGTAATTAGCTATTCAACTACCCCAACAGGGGGAAATTAAATTGTACTGTGACCAGGTTAATTAAAATGCAGTATGACTTGGGCAAACCCTCAGTCTGATGTATGTATGTAGTATGACAAAGTCTCCACTGGGAATTATTTAAAATATAGTATGACGGATTTTTCGCTTTGGGCACACCCCCCACTGGAACTCTAGAACCCGGCCTCGACCGGGCTATACGCTAGTACATACATATTTCATAAAAAACAAAATCTTGCAAAAATGGACAAAAAGGAAATAACTGCTCAAACCAGGGGTCGAACCTGAGACCTTCTGCGTGTGAGGCAGACGTGATAACCACTACACTATCTGAGCATTAGATAAGGAATCACGCTACGTGGAATACTCACAGATAGAGAGAGCACATGACGTACGAAAATTGCTAAATTGCTAAAAAATTGTCTCCTATTTATTACACCGTTGGAAACTTTGAGCATTTATCTATTTACTAAGGGATACTGCCACAATCGTGTTTTTTTCTGTATGCAAATTTAACATCGTAATAATCCATTGTAAATAACTAGTGGGGTGGATATCTCATGAAAATATGTGCAGATTGGTACATTTCAGTCGGCAATGTTACATAGTTTAGTAACAAAACGCCCAATTACACTAATTACATTGAGCATTGTAACATAACATTTCTTTCTATTAAACAAACCTACCCCTGTGAATTTGGAAATAAAAGTATTTCTTTCAATTATTGCGTTTGGAGAAAATTAGCAATATGAAATTATGCATAAGCGGTAGTTGCATAATTATGGGGCAGATCAAATATTACGCATTGATTTTGCCAGTTGATCCATTTCATCTTCCCACCATTAATATGCAAATATGATGTGATTTACATATTTACATAAGTATGTACATATGTATGTGGATCGGATTCTGTGTAGGGGCATTCGTCATTGAGGGTTTTCACGTCACGTTCGTAACTGTAGCAAATTTACGACATTTACGAATATTCCATGCTGACTTTCAACTTCGTAAATAAATATGCACACAAGGTTGATGCGTTTTATTATATCTTTTAGCAATTTAGTATTTTTTGCAACTAGAAGTAAGAATTTTTAGAGCACCATAAATAGTTATTGATGCTATTGGGTAAATGGGGATGAAGAGTTTGTTTGAAAACTTTAACGAATGCATTATTTACGAAGGTATTTATGTACGCCGTTCACGTCAATCCTTCGCAAATTAGTAAATATTTTTTTATGAATCCACAGGTACGTGAAAACCATCAATATTTTTTCCCTACCATTTTTGAAGACTTACTACATATGTATGTACATACTTGCATGGCTCTCTGTACTTTTTGCTCGGAAAACGGTAGGATTAAGCAGTAAGTGAAATCGGAAATCGGGTTGTAATTTACATATGCACCGCAGCATTGTTCTTCTCTCCTCATTTACATAGATATGTACACACATGCACACAATCTGATTCGGGGGAGATCAATCTCATACCGATCTATTTTTAGCCCTAGACCAAAAATGGAATTTGGAGAACAAGGGAATCTTGTTGGTCTCTTTGGCTGGGCGTCGTCGGCAGAATTCTCCCCTCTCCTCATTCTCATTCACTCTGCAGGACAGCTTTCGACACGTGAGTGCAGTACTGTGTTTTACAGATTTAGTTAGTTTTTAGTTTAAATTTTTTGAAATTTCCATTGTTTCCAGGTTCGTTGCAGGGCTGACGGAGAAGTGAATTCCATCAATTGTTGGGAGAAGTGGTGTTTGGTTTTTCGGATCGTGACCGGGCCAGGCCTTAAGAGTCGGGATGGTTATTGAACAAAAATTCGTGGCTGGGCAGGAGCCTGATCCTACCGAATTTCTCTTCATTTCCCTGGTAAGTTTTGTGCAAAATAATTTTGCAATTATGCAAATTTGCGAGATCAGATTTGTAGTTGAATTATGCTTCGTAATTTTTTTTAGACTTGCATTTATTTAGAAACTTCTAGTTGAAAGTTTAAAAATTTGTGAACTTATCGAATTTGCACAGTTTAAAGAATCCCAATTTTATTTGCAAATTACAGGAAATGAAGATGAAAGACGAGTCGACGCCGTACGACGCCAAGACGACGTGTTGGGTCCCTGACCCGGCAGATTGCTTTATCCGGGGGGAAATTCGCAGTCAAGATGGTGACAGTATCATGGTCTGGACCGGAAATGAGGTACACATGTACTAAAAATTGGAAAGATGAGAAAAATGAGCTGAGCTAACTTCGCCAAATTTTGTGCAAATTTTAGGAGAAGAAATTCAAGAAGGACCAAGTCGCTCAAGTGAATCCACCCAAGTACGAGAAGTGCGAGGACATGTCCAACTTGACCTTTTTGAACGATGCGTCCGTCTTGCACAATCTCAAGTCCAGATACCAAGCAAAGTTGATCTATGTAAGTCATCTTTTTTGAGGGGAAATGAATTTGACAAAATTTGTGACTTGAAATTTTGTAGAAAATATGATTTCTCAATTGAGAAGGCATCATATCGTTGAAATTCTTTCGTAGATTTTATTACAATTTTGTCACGTAGCTGGGTTAAGCAGTAAGGACAGTGCGCGAATGATGTCATGTGTTCGACTTTTGTCGAATAAGGGTCAAGGCATCATATCTTTTCCAAGCTAATTATTGTTAACACGGGGCATACTTAAAGTAGAAATTAGTAGAAAATCGATCACATTCTTAACGCTTGGTCCACGTCAGACAGAATTTACGTGGATTGGCAATGATATAAATAGGCGAGAAATGTTGGCTCGGAGTTAATTATGGTGGAAGGATGCACATCTCATCCTCAGTTTGAGCAAGTCACATTATTTTAGTCTGCAATGCTCGGAAACGCATGTATGTATTCATCTACATATGTATGTACTTGGCAGCGAGTAGTTTTTTATGTCAGGCTATTTTCAGAGTATGCCAAAAGATAGGGATTTGGAGTTGAGGAGAGCCAAGAAATACCCGGGTTCGCCGGTTCGTTTTTTTTGTGGAGAAATTAAGCAAAAGAATTAAATGTGCATTTTTCTTAGATAGTGTACAGGATAAAATATGTGAAGGATTGAAGACGACACTTATAAATATGCAGATCGCTTATCGTTTAATTTCCTAGAATTTTATGTACGAAGCGTACCAAAGCAAAAATTAGAGGATGATTTATAAAAAAAGTTGAGTTCTGTTTAATGATACGAAATACTAAATTTTACATTCAGCGATTTTGCTTTCACTTTACTTTCACCGGAACAATTTAAATTTGATGAAATTAAATAATCGTCATGAAAATAAAATTAACCAATTAAATATAATTAGCTAAAATTGTGTACTATTCTGCCATTTAATCTAAAATTTTGAAAATTTTGAAATAAATTTCACCTTTTCAGACTTATTCTGGTCTCTTCTGCGTCGCCATCAACCCGTACAAACGGTACCCCATCTACACCGTGAGGGCCATGAAGATCTACACCAACAAGAGGCGTAACGAGTGCCCACCCCACATTTTCGGTGGGTTTAGCAAACAATTACTTGCGAATTGTTCGAACTATTTTTTAAAATTATATTCTTCTTTTATTCAGCCATTGCTGAGGGTGCTTACCAAAACATGATCCAAGACCACGAGAACCAGTCCATCCTTATTACCGGCGAGTCTGGTGCCGGAAAGACGGAAAACACCAAGAAGGTCATCGCTTATTTCGCCAACGTCGGCGCCTCATCGAAAGGAGAAACGAACAAGGTTTCCCTTGAGGACCAGATCGTCCAAACCAATCCCGTCCTCGAGTCCTTCGGTAACGCCAAGACCACGCGTAACGACAACTCGTCCCGATTCGTGAGTGGCAATAATTTTGAAGGGGAAAGTTTTGCAATTTTTTATATTTGCAAATCCTTCAGGGTAAATTCATCCGTATCCATTTCGGACCCACTGGAAAGTTGGCTGGTGCTGATATCGAGTCTTGTAAGTAAATAAACATACGTTAAAGTGGGATAGGAATGCGAAAGTTTGTAGCTGCGTAATAAATTTTATAAAATAGCCGTGAGTTTAAAGAATTTCGATTTAGAAACACAAAATTATGCAAACATTTTCTTGTCTAAAATTAAATCCACCATACTTTGTAAAGTTACCGCACCCATCTCGTGAAAGAATTTGGATTATAAACCATAAAAATTATAGGAACATTCTAACTGAAAATTTCTGTAACAAATAATTCTGCAAAGTTACACATTATAAAGTTACAAAATAAGTTGACGTGAATTTCCTAACTTTTAATCAGCTCGATGGAATCCATTTTTCTAAAAATTGACAAAGAGAAATCTCATTCTATTTTAATTCCTATCAAAATTTTAAATTATTCTACCTATAACTTCATATTCTACGAAAAGCAAGTTTAGAAAATTTAAGGATTTTGTATAATTTCAAAAACTTGTTCGTAGACTTGCTCGAGAAGGCCCGAGTCATCTCTCAAATGCCTCTGGAGCGTTGCTACCACATTTTCTACCAACTGATGTCCCCCGCCTGCAAGGAGAAGGGTGTGAAGGACATTTGCTTCTTGGGCGAGGACATTTACAAGTACCACTACGTCTCCCAGGGAAAAATTACCGTCCCTTCGATCGATGACAATGAAGAGTTCCTCGCCACCCACGAGGCTTTCGAAATTCTTCTCTTCACCGCCGCCGAGCGAGAAAATTGCTACAAGGTCACCGCCTCTGTCATGCACATGGGAGAGATGAAGTTCAAGCAGAAAGGTACATAATGTCGCGGCAGGATTTGAATTTTGCCCGTTTACCAAGAAAAAAATGATAGATTTTTATGGGGAAAATTGATATCGAGTGGCGAAAGCCTAATTCAAATTTTGGCGCTTTACAAGCTTGGTTTCGAACTATTTTCGAAATACTGATTTGCACTTCAAAATTTGAATTTTTTCTGTACACGTTTACCTCGAAAAAGACTAATAGCTACATACTTCAGTAGCACTTTTTACGGGAAAAATTTGTAAAGTATGGTATATTCGAATTTTTACCATGCAGAAGCCTGATTTTGGTGTCCAATTAATTTTGAAATACTGAGTAACAGACAAAATTTGAATCTTCTCATCGTAAAATTCTACATAGAAACCCAGATTTTAAGAGACCAAATTCAAGTTTTGGTCCTCCATCAACTTATTTTAAATATTTCCCTAAAAATGTCGAAATACTCAAAATCAAATTGTTCCCCAGGTCGTGAAGAGCAGGCCGAACCCGACGGTCTTGAGGATGGCACCAACTGCGCTAAACTTCTCGGCGTTGACGGCGAGCAGATGTACAAGAACATTTGCAAGCCCAGGATCAAGGTCGGCACGGAGTTCGTCACCAAGGGGATGAACGTCAACCAATGCTCCTACACTTTGGGCGCCATGGCGAAATCCATCTTCGACAGGATGTTCAAGTGGCTCGTCAAGAAGTGTAACGACACCCTGGACACGAAACAGAAGCGTCAATCCTTCTCCGGAGTGTTGGACATTGCCGGGTTCGAGATCTTCGACGAAAACGGTTTCGATCAGTTGTGCATTAACTTCACCAATGAGAAATTGCAGCAATTCTTCAACCATCACATGTTCGTTCTTGAGCAGGTGTGTAATGTGTGAAATGCGATAAAATAATGGGGTTGATTTCTTGCAAGTTTTTGGAATTTCTTGTACGGAACTGCAAGAAATATGAGATACAAAAATGAGAGAAATTCAAGATGCAAAAATGCAAAAACAGGCGCCACCTAGCAGCTCTTTGTACTGCCAATAATTAAAGAAATTGTCCGCTTCATGGCGTTTGAAATTTGCATTTTCGCAAGAAATTATACTTACCAAAACCAATTTTTTGCACCTGTTTTTGTTACGATAAACACTAAAAATGTGAATTTACATGTATAATTTATGCTAATTTTTTTATCCGTATAACTTTAGGAAGAATACAAGAAGGAAGGTCTCGACTGGATCTTCGAAGATTTCGGAATGGACTTGCAAGCTTGCATCGAGCTGTTTGAGAAGCCCATGGGCATCTTCGCCATCCTTGAAGAGCAGACTATGTTCCCCAAAGCTACCGATCAATCATTCCAGGACATGTTGAAGACCAACTTGCTCGGCAAGTATAACTGCTTCATGAAGCCCAAACCACCAAAGCCAGGTAGATACATATTCTTCAAAAATTGGAAAAGTTTTTTGTTCGTAATGATTTTTTATTTTATTTATTTTATTTCTGAAAACATAAAGGTCAGAAGGAGGCTCACTTTACGGTGGGACATTACGCCGGAAACGTTGCGTACAACATTGCCGGTTGGTTGGAGAAGAATAAGGATCCCTTGAATGACTCTGTGGTCGATCAGTGGAAGAAGGGATCCAACGACTTGGTCGTTTTCCTCTATTCGGACCATCCCGGACAGAGTGGAGACGCTGGAAAGGATGCCGGTGGTGGCAAAGGTGCATATTTTAATATCAAAAAAATAATGTTATGAAGCTATGCAGATTGAAATGGAGTTGATTTAAGATTAAGCGGTATTTATAAACGAGATGGAATAGAATTAGTGAAGATTTTTGGAGAATTTTCACTTGACCATTGACCCCTTAATTAAGCTGGGAGAAAGTCATGTATTTATGTCTTTATTGATGTGATTGAATGCTGAATAGGTGGTGGCAAGAAGAAGGGAGGTGGTATGTCCAGTGTATCTTCGTCATACAGAGTTAGTTCCGGGGAAAATTATATTCATTCGGTTGAACCCCTTGGATTTGAACCCTTTTAGACCGAATGCTTTCCATATTTTTGTTACCTGGTGCATATTTCCCTCCTTGTTTGATACATTTTTTAGTTATTTCTGCCTCAATTTAACACTATCTTCCGACCTTACTAAAGTGTGACCCCTTGAGAATTCCCAAAATATTCCAATATTAAGTTACATAATTAATCACAGCGTTTAATATTTTTTATCCATTTCTACCTTTCACCGACTTTCACCTCAAATGTATGTGCATTATCCCTGCTGCGATGACCTGGAGAAACGTATTTTTTACAAAACCTGCCTCAACTAGATTTTATTTAATGATCCATTCTTGAAAATGTGAATCCTACGAATTTAGTAATTTAATACATGTACCCCTTTCACCCTGATTTTACCCGTATTATTGTATGTATTTATATGAATCTGATTTCACCCGTAAATTATACCAAATCTTCTCCAAGCACGAGAACAAAATCTATCCTGATCGTGTTCAAGTGAATTTTAATTTCTACAAATTCTAAAATTCTTTATATTTCTTTCCCCACAGGAACAATTGAACAACTTGATGACCACTTTGAAAGCTACGCATCCTCATTTTATCCGATGCATTGTGCCGAACGAGGTCAAGACACCCGGTCTCGTTGACGCCCATTTGGTTATGCACCAGCTCACCTGTAATGGTGTGCTTGAAGGCATCCGTATTTGTCGGAAGGGATTCCCCAACAGGATGAACTATCCTGACTTCAAGCATCGGTACACAATTTTGATTTTTTTTTAATTTTGAAAATATGAAATTTTTTTATTTTCGAAATTTTCAATTTTTCATTTTATCAAATAGTTACATCATCCTTGCCGCCGAGCAGATGAAGGCGAACGAGAAGGACGACAAGAAGATGGCCACCGCTTGCTTTGATGTCATCGCATTGGACGCTGATCGATACCGTGTCGGTCACACCAAGGTTTTCTTCCGGTGAGGAAACTTAAGAGATTGTTGTGGATTGTGTAACAATTATGAGAAAGTGGAGTAATTTTATTGTTGTGAAATCATCTAGTGCCGGAACCTTGGGTTATCTTGAAGAAATGCGTGACGACAAGGTTGGACAGGTCATGACCTGGATGCAATCTAGGATCCGTACCTTCTTGCAGTTGAAGGAGTTCAAGCGACTCCAGGAACAACGGTAAATGGGTTAAAATACACAACAGTTTAGCCGAGTTAAACTTTCTCTTTTTCGAAAAATCAAACTTTCCTAATTCCGAAGTTTTCTAAACTTTCGATTTCTCTAACATTCCAAGTTTCTCTTTTAGATAAATTTCTTCCCAAATTTCATTTTACCTCCTTCAGAAACATCAAAAATGTCGTATTTGTTTCTTATGAAAATTTCAACTTTCTTCCATTCATAAAATTCAAACTTTCACGATTTACAAAATGTTAACTTTTTCATTTTACAAAATTTCCACTTTCCTTTTTTTAAAAAAAAAATTTCACTTTATCTACTTACAAAATTTCAACTTTCTCCTCATCCACTTGCACTTGCTAACTCCGAACTCTTATTCAAAAAGTTTATCTTCTAAAAAGCACAAAATTCTTCCCCGTTCGAATTACCTTGTTCACAAATTTAATCAAATTTCTCCCCCAACTCCACAGTATCGCTCTCCAAGTCGTCCAACGCAATCTCCGCACCTACGTGCAGATGAAGCAGTGGGTGTGGTTCGACGTCATGCAGAAACTCAAACCTCTCATCGCCTCCTCCAAGATCGGCGACGAGCTCAAGAAGCTTGAAGAAAAAGCCGAAAAACTCGAGGCTGGAGTCGCCAACGAGCAAAAACTTAAAGCCGAAGCGAACGAGCGGGAAGCCAAGGCGGCCGCGGAGCGCGACGACATTCAGCGCCAACTCGAAGAAGAGCGCGGAAAGGGAGGCGATTACGGTGTGCGACTCACCAAAATGCAGACGCAGAAGGAAACCCTCGAACAACAAATTCAGGACGCGCAGGCCAAACTCGTCCGCGAGGAGGAAGCGCGCACCAAGCTCTTCGCCGAGAAGAAGAAGATGGAGCAGGAACTTCAAGGCATGAAGAAGGACTTTGAAGACCTCGAGCTTGCCGTGAACAAAGTTGAAGGCGACAAGAACACACGTGACCACCAGATTCGAACTTTGAATGACGAAATCTCCCGCCAAGACGACCTCATCAACAAGCTGAACAAGGAGAAGAAGCACATGCAAGAGCTCACCTCGAAGACTGGGGAAGAACTCCAGACCGCGGAGGACAAGGTGAACCATCTCAACAAGGTTAAGTCAAAGTTGGAACAGACTTTAGATGAGTTGGAGGAGTCGCTCGAGCGCGAAAAGAAGCTGCGCGCCGATTATGAGAAGACCAAGAGGAAGGTGGAAGGAGATTTGAAGTTGACGCAGGAGTCGGTCCAGGATTTGGAGAGGAATAAGAAGGAGTTGGAACAGGTGGGGAATTGTTTTTGTGGGGGATTTAATTTGGCAGGATTTAGTCAAATCTGTTTCAAGGAAAGAATTGTTTGGCAGAATTTAGTCTTTCCGTTTTCATGGAAAGAATTTTATGACAGGATTTAGTCTTTCTATTTTCATGGAAATATTCATATCGCAATATATAGTCTCACTAAATTTTTTCCTTCCTCTTAATTCAGACCATCCAACGCAAAGACAAGGACATCCAGTCTCTCACCAGCAAATTGGAGGACGAACAAAGCGTCGTTTCCAAGCTTCAAAAGCAAATCAAGGAATTGCAAGGACGCATCGAAGAGCTTGAAGAAGAGCTCGAAGCTGAGCGTCAAGCCCGCGCTAAGGCCGAGAAGCAGAGGAGCGATCTTGCCCGCGACTTGGAAGAGCTGACCGAGCGTTTAGACGAAGCCGGTGGCGCCACCGCGGCACAAATCGAACTCAACAAGAAGCGCGAGTCCGAGCTAACCAAGCTTCGCCGGGACATTGAAGAAGCCAACATTCAACACGAATCCAGCATGGCGGGAATCCGAAAGAAGCACAATGACGCAGTCGCAGAAATGGCGGAACAGATCGACACTCTTAACAAGCTGAAGGCTAGGTGAGTAACAAATTTCCTAATTTTATGTTCCCCAAAATTTCAAAAATTTCTACTAACCAATATTAATGACATGATGATACTTACATATATTCCGAGTTATTCCATGATAACACTATGGGAAGAGTTTGATCAGTTAAAATGCAATAAACGATTTCACTTACCGACTCAGCAACATTTAAACTTCCCTCCTAAAAAACAATCTCACTTTTCCCCAGGGCCGAGAAAGAACGCCAAGGCATGTCCTCCGAGCTGAACGACATCCGCTCCGCGATGGACCATCTCAGCAACGAGAAGGCGGGTCAAGAGAAATTGAACAAGATCTGGCAAGGTCAGCTGGGTGACCTTCAAGCCAAATATGAAGAAGCCGCGCGAACCCTGCAAGAACTCGATGGTTCCAAGAAGAAGTTGGCGATTGAGAATTCCGAACTTTCGCGCCAATTGGAGGACGCCGATACGCAGATTTCGACCCTGAACAAGCTCAAGATCTCGCTTGCTCAACAGTTGGAGGACGTCAAGCGCGTCGCGGATGAGGAGAGTCGAGAACGTGCCGTACTTTTGGCCAAGTTCAGGACCGTCGAACATGACCAGGACGGATTGAGGGAGCAATTGGACGGAGAAGCGGAAGGCAAGGCGGATCTGGTTCGTCAATTGTCAAAGGCTAATGCGGAAGGTGGGTGGATTAATTTGCGAAAATATATACGTTTGCAAAATTTGTAATCATCTTTAATTAAATTGCAGCTCAACTTTGGCGTGCAAAATACGAATCGGAAGGAGTTGCCCGAGCTGAAGAGTTGGAGGAGACCAAGTAAGAAATTGTTTCGGATTGGGGCACTTTGTACATAAATAAATTAAGCAACATAACTTGCGAAATTTGCTGAAGTTTGCAAAGCCTTTCGAAATTTAAGAAATTTAGAATCATAAAATAGTTTTGGAAATTTGAGATTTCTTTTAAAATTTATGTTGATGAACTGAGCGAATTTTGTGTTTTGCTAGTATTTTTACTTCGCAAAATTTTTTCACAAATTTCCTTGCAAGGCACAGAAATTACAGATAATCCACAGCAACTAAAGCAAAATAGGATAACCCGAATCTTTTTTGGATTTGTAATTTTTGGCGAATCCACTCACGACACACTTTCTTAATTTTTTTAATTTCGAAAAACTTTCACTTTGTACCATTTGCAATTATTTTTCCTGGCGCAAGCTGCAGGCCGAAATTTCTTAGAGCTGCTTAAATATGCAAAACAAATTAAAATGCTATTAAAATAAGACGTTTTTCTATATTCCACTTTTGCGAAAAATTTACAAAATTTGCAATTTTTCCCTAGGCGCAAATTGCAAGCTCGTCTCACCGAAGCGGAAGAAACTATTGAGTCCTTGAACCAAAAAGTGATCGCTTTGGAGAAGAGCAAGCAACGTTTGGCCACCGAGTTGGAAGACATGCAGCTCGAAGTGGAGCGTGCCAAGAGCTTGGCCAACGCGATGGAGAAGCGCGCCAAGGCTTTCGACAAAACTGTCTCCGAATGGAAGCAGCGCGTCGACGACCTGGCCGCGGAGTTGGACAACAGCCAGAAGGAGTGCAGGAACTACTCGACGGAACTCTTCCGTCTGCGAGCGGTCTATGATGAAAGTCAGGAACAATTGGACTCTGTCCGACGTGAGAATAAGGCTCTCGTCGAGGAAATTAAGGACCTCATGGACCAGGTTGGTAATTCCAGTGGTAACTAATTTAGTAGTGGGGACGGATTTTTCCGATATTATAAACCCAGTTTAATATAGATTTTTCCGAAATCCGATTTAGCCATTTGGTATAACCAGGTTATAAAAAAATCGGTTTTTTGAAACAGGTTACTTTCGATTTTTTGGTAAAAAATCCCTTCGAGCTAGGATTTTACATTTCTTATTTTGTATTGAAAATTAATGTTGGCGAAATATTTTTTTCTCAAATTTTACTTTATTATGTTTACAAAATTTTTAAATTTCACTGTTTCAAAAACCTGTTTAGAAAAGTTTTGGTAGAAATTGGAAATCAGTTTTACCGATTTCTCTAAATTGTCAAAAATCGAATTCTAGTACGCTAAAAATATTCCGATTATAAATGCCCTAAAATTTACTGGTCGCAGATTTTAGCCTCCTGCAAAACTAACCTTAATTTCTCCTTTATCCTCCCGTCTAGATTGGCGAAGGTGGCCGCGCCATCCACGAGTTGGACAAAGCCCGACGACGTCTCGAAGTTGAGAAGGATGAACTTCAAGCCGCTCTTGAAGAGGCTGAATCCGCTTTGGAACAAGAAGAATCCAAACTTCTCCGCGGACAGCTGGAGCTCTCCACCGTCCGACAAGAGATCGACCGACGCATCCAAGAGAAGGAAGACGAGTTCGAGAACACCCGCAAGAACCACATGCGCGCCCTGGATTCACTCCAGTCCAGCTTGGAGGCTGAAGCTAAAGCCCGCGCGGAAGCTTTGAGACAAAAGAAGAAGCTCGAGTCGGACATCAATGAGCTCGAAATTGCTCTCGACCAAGCCTCCAAGGCTGCCCAGGAAGCCCAAAAGAACATCAAGCGCTACCAAAACACCTTGAAGGAAACGCAAGGCGCTCTTGAGGACGAGCAACGCGCCCGCGACGAAGCGCGAGAAGCTCTTGCCAATGCGGAGCGACGATCCAACGCACTCTTCAATGAGTTGGAAGAATCTCGAACTCTCCTCGAACAAGCTGACCGAGCTCGACGAAACGCCGAACAAGAGTTGACCGATGCGAACGAACAAATCAGCGAGCTTGCCGCGCAGGCTAACAGCCTCGCTTCGGCGAGAAGGAAGTTGGAATCTGAGCTTTCTACTCTTCATGTAAGGAGATTTGTTTTATGATAATTTGAAATTTGGTAAAGTTTACGATTTATTGGGGGCATTCAAGTCAAATCATATTCGCAAATTGTTTTAAGAAAATTGGCGATTCGTTGGTGATTAACTGACCATAAATTGGTGACTACGTAATTAACGATTAATTGTTGATTAATTGAGGGCTACACTGGTCTAGCAAATACGAAGGAAAGTTCGCAAATGAATTTTCAGTCCAAAATACAGGGAAACTTGCGAATTTTTTGGAAGCTTTGTCAAAATATGAAGGAACTCGTCTTGAATACCCTCAATAGTTAGTTTGCAAAAAGCTTAAAAAATCAAGCTTACCTGCTCACATGCCACATTTACTTTGCTATTCCCACAATTTTTTCAAATTTCTAAATTTCCTCCCTTTTCCAGACCGATCTCGAAGAGATCCTCAATGAAGCCAAGATGTCTGACGAGAAAGCCAAAAAGGCCATGATTGACGCCGCTCGGCTTGCCGATGAACTTCGTGCCGAACAAGATCACGCCCAACACCAGGAGAAGCTCCGCAAGCAGTTGGAACTCCAAGCCAAGGACTTGCAAAACCGGCTGAACGAGGCTGAAACTCTGGCCCTTAAGGGAGGAAAGAAGGCCATCGCCAAGCTGGAAGAGCGCATCCGACAACTTGAAGGCGAACTTGATGGAGAACAACGCCGACACGCCGATGCCCAGAAATCCTCCCGCAAGAACGAGCGCCGCATTAAGGAGATGACCTTCCAGGCTGATGAAGACCGCAAAAACCACGAACGCATGCAAGACCTTGTTGACAAACTCCAACAAAAGATCAAGACCTTCAAGAGGCAGATTGAGGAAGCGGTGAGTCAAGTTTATATATTTCAAAATTTTGGGGGTAAAATTTATGGGGAAAATTACGAAAGTTTTGCACATGAATTTATTGCAAATTTTAGCTACATTTTCAGAAATTCATTTTTTATTTGTTTGAGAATGAGCTTGGCATTTATAATTAAAAAATCGGGAAAAGATTGGTGACTGAACTTGCTTCAGGTCAGGCTTTTTTTATAAAATTAAGCGTTTTTGTTTTGAAATTTCTAAATTTAATTAAAAAAAAATATTATCTGAAAAGTTAGAACAACTTTTAATTAGATAAAATTAGACATTTTGATTTTGAGATTTCTTAAACTTAAGTCCTACTAAAAAATCTATTATCCGCAAACTTAACACAAAATATTTAAACTATGAAATTATGCGTTTATATTTTTGAATTTCTTCTAAACTTGATGCACATTACAATATTAAATTCCGATTAAAACAATTTAATATCTGAAAATTTAATGCAAAACATTACAGTTTCTAATGAAATTTAGCATTCTTAGTTTTTTAATTTCTACGAAATTTATGTTACATTTCTTGAAATTAATTAATTTTCCCTCCATAATTACAGGAAGAAATTGCCAGCCTGAATCTCGCCAAGTACCGCAAGGCACAAACTGACTTGGAGGATGCCGAAGAGCGATCCGAGGTCAACGAGGGCGCTCTGGTCAAGCTGCGTGGTCGCCGAGCTGGGTCCATGGCCCGCTTGGCACAGAACGCAGAGTAAGATCTGCTTCGCCAAGAAAGAGATGCTTTCGGGTGTGTCATCGTCACGATCGTCGTCAACGTCGTCATGACAACGAATAAAACCACCACCACTCACCTAGCTCTTGACAACTATGTCAGTTATTTCTTTGTTCTTCCGTATTCATTTTAAACTTATTGTCTGTACTTTCCTCACCTCAAGACGTAGAAGATAATAAACCCACAAGCAAATCTTTAAAAACTTAAAAAAAACTGGGAGCAAATTGTTTTATTTTATTTACATACATACATAAATACTCCACAAATTATTGATAACATGCAATAAATTTGCAATAATAATGCTTTATTATATTCATTTAAGTACTAAATTAGAAATTTCAATCTAAACTAAATTCCTACCCATTTTAAATGGAACATTTAATTTAAATATTCTTTTTATTCAATATCTAATTCTCTCTGGTCCCAATTTCTAAAATTAATTCGTAAATATTCATTAAAAATTACTGAACTGGATTGACAAAGAAGATTGCGAATTACATCCTGAAATTGCATCCGAAGTAAGTGGTCCATGCCCCATGGTCCACTTAAAAAATGATCCACTGCGAGCTATATACATATCCCGTGACCTACCACACCTTAAAATAAAACTGTATACAAGCTAAACATTTTTGGTAATACGACACATCCAGGTAAATATATATTATGCATAGAGGTCACTATTGATTTTCATGTTTTGACGTCGTTGTGCTTACCTACATGTGATAAGCACAGTGATAGTGTTATGCTTACATATGTGTCTATGCATATGTTATCTGTTCGTTATGTTAAGGTTTTTATATCCTCTTAATGTGATCTTGTTTTACAAAAATTCATCATACATAACATAAATAATATCGTAGATATGTACATACATACTCCTGTTTTTTTAACTATACGATCCTCGACGTCATCACTCTCATTACTAATAGCATTGCAGTGGTGACGTCGAGGGTCGTATGGTAAATAAACCGACTGTACATATAGTGCTAAATTACGAGGCATGCTGACGATCAAACGGACGTGAATAAATACATGTGCGATGCACGTATGTATGTATGTATGTGACTCTACCGGATACTTTACAGCGTATCTAGCATTAGAAGTGTAAGGTTGGAAACGATACAAGCAGATTTATCGTGTAATCCACAATCGCCATGATATAAGTAGTCATTAATGATTTCTGGATACTGTAGAAATTGTGTGCATTGAGTCCAGCATAAAAAATGAGGGGCCTTGTTCCCCTCAGTCTTTTTGCGAACTGAGCATCCCTCGCACCAAGGATTTGTCTCCATTTGACCAACGTTGTCGCGGAACGCTCATGGATGCGAATCCCAACCGGAAGTAAGGACAAGATTATGGTTAAGACGCACACAGCGAAGAAGGGGTACGTGAGGTAGAAGACGAATGGCAGCCCAATATCGTAGAGACGAATTGTTGCAAAATTGAGAGCGGATGATAACACCAAACCTGACCCCATGAGAATGAAGGCAATTGTGGCTAAGTAGCTTTCAACTACACGATTCATTATTATAAGCTGGTTGAAATAGTTTAAGGTTTCATTCCATCTGGCTCGAGTTGTTGCAGGCCTATAATTTAAAAGAGATATGCTTGACCATTTACATATACATGTAATTATATAAATAATGTATAAGTTGCGCATGTACGTACATACGTACATAAGTTACATAGTGAACCACCGCAAATTGCTTCATTATAACGTAGCGAAAATTCCTTCACTTAAATAATTATTTTCCATTTTTATGAAACTACGCAGTATTTAAGTATGCACATAGATATTTCGAATTACAGATGTATAATTGTGAAGTAATTAGCCAGACATTTCTATTGCGTTTGTACATAACATGTCTAGAAACTCGATACCGTTTTGGATAATGTGAAATTGTGAGCTTTTCAGAAATTATGTGACTCTATGATTACTTTGTGCACAGTCAATAAATTGTTCTTGGAGTTAATCTGACTTTCCTTGAGACAAGTTTTCTGAAATAACGAGTTAGATCGGTTAGATTTAGTCGTGTTTCGATAGCCGATCGCAGGGCTTATGAAACCATCGTGTTTGTCTGTCTGACGTTTAGATAATTCTCTTTAAATTATTGGATCGGGTAGAAATTTGGTATACTTATATGTATTTGTAATATGGAACCGACAAGTTTAGCCATATGAAGGGTTATGTAAGCTGAAGGTTTTTGTGCTTGACAAAAATTTACATCTGACGGGCTAGCGCCCAGTACCTTCTGGTACCAGAAAATTTCGGAAAGGCTGTATCCAAGGAATTGACGCAAAATGATGAATTAGCTCGAGTTTCTAGCAATTTTGTAAGTGCACATGTAAAAAAAACATATTGGGTGTACTAATATATGTACATATGTATGTATATTTATAGATACATAAACATGTATGAAGTGCGTATAGTTATATGTATGTAGATATGCGCATACTCAAGTCTGATGTTGAGCAAAGTGTCCACTGATTTTATGATAAGTTGCGCCGGGATTGCAAGGACGTACAAGAGGAATGGCACTATCCTCGCGACTTCCGCCGCCACGATGTAAAGAAGCCCGGCTCTTAATGGTATTAGGAGCAAAGAGTTTGCAATTTCATGAGGTAGAATCTTCTCAAGCACGAATATGTACACATCCATCTTCAGTACAAATACGTCAACAAGAGTCATTGGGAGAGGGATGAAAGGCAGTGGGGCAAGAATGGAAAATAGCACCAGCCCTACGGAGACAAATAATTTATAGAAATTTATGTAGTACATATATGTATTTGTGTATGTATGCATAGTATGTATTACATACGCAAATAAAGTTAGGAGGGACACAGAACTTATCACCCACCGATTTTGATGCCCATGCTGTAAATACTGATGGGTGGGTGTAAAATCGGTGGTTGGTAGGTTCCATTCTCCTATATAGGACACGACAATGGAAATACCTGGTTTGTCCAATTTTCCTTCAGGATTTAACAAAATTGGAGGAATCTGAATTCCCTTCCATTTCTTTTTTTGGATAAGCTTACGACCTAATGATACATAAATATTTCAATGCACCCAAATAAAATAAGTTAATATTAGAAAAATATTCATTAACCTTTGATGGAGTCCTCAAAGTCTTCGTAAACCTGAATTATCGTATTGACTATAAGGACGGTATGGTCACCAAAGAATATGAAAAAAATTGCAACCCCCCCAGCCAACCAAATCCCTGCTGCCGCTATAAAATATTGCACCGTGACCCAAACTGGGATGCGAGGATGAAATTTGTACAACTGTCCCAGGATAATGTATCCACAGCAATTCAAAGTGATGCAAATGTTGATGAAAAACACGACAAAATACCACCAGAAGAAGGTTCGGAATGTTCCAGGAATGTGGAGGAATTGTCGTTGAATGGGATCCCATTGGAAAGAGGTTTTCCACAAGTACTTATTTGCTCGAAAGTTAAGCGATAAGGTGTGCCAAACAAGCTCGGACATCTTGTCGAAATGATATGAAGTTATCGCATTTGAGGACGGTCATACATATGTGAAAGAGTAGTAAATGTGAAATGAAAAGTATTCCCATATTTTCTTGACAGGTGCACTCATTTCATGGATGTCTACTTATCGGTAACTTGCTATTTTCTAAGAAAAATAAGTCTTAATTTGAGTGAAATTGCCTGAGTTATAAACAAGTCGATTAATTAACTTATTGGTATAAAAGACCTAGACGAATACTTATTTATTATTCAGAATATGACAATTCTCCTTAAGATATGTGGATTAATACTATATATATTTAGAAGCAGTTTTGGAAATGGAAGATAACTACTTGCGTATCTATGTATTTGGCATATATACCAGCAAATATCTTAATTAATCTAATCTAATCTAGGCACGTGTAATACCTTTAGCTTAATCTGCTACGTAGACAAGGTTGTGTAGGCATTTTCTGTTCAATCAAGCCATTTAAGCCATTTGTCTGATAGGATAAATAACAAGCAGGTTCCGGTCGAGCTCACTATTTTTTCTCCTCTTTAGTTTAATTAACTTTCCAAAATTCAACGAGTTTCTTTCTCATTTTCCCCAAATTAATAGGATAAATAAATCCTTATAAACGAATATCAAAAAAGTAGCGTCAGAACGACCGAAATTTCCTTTAAAATGATATCATATCTGACAATTATATATTTTTAACCTTTGGCCTCGTCCTCAAGGTCATGAGGTCAAAAATAATAACGTCCTTCAAATCCCGGTCAAATTTCATTTAAAATGACACCCCATATGGCAATTATGTACCTTTTTACTAGACATGCACCGAGTACTCGGCGCTGCCGAGTACTCGGCAGATTTTGGCCGTGCTCTCACTACTCGGACTCGGCCGAGTATTTTTGCGTGCTCGGCCGAGTATTTCTTAAATTTTTATATGTATCCAGTACCACTTTACCCGGTACTTACATACACTGTGCAGTTCAAATTATCATGTGATTTTTGCAATCAAAATCAAACTTACTTGAAAATACACCCATGAAATTTGTTAATTCTATTCGGTAATCAACTTTAATCGAAATGTTGGAACAGGCGGAAGAATCAGTAGTTTCACGTCATTCTGTCCACCAGTTCTCAAAATAAAGGCACTGGTAATTAAATATTATGTAAACAATGATTTTTTTGATGATCTTTTTGACAATTTACTCGGTGGCCGAGCCTTGCTCGGTACTCGATTGCCGAGCTTTGCTCGGTGCTCGGCAAACGAGCAGAAACGAGTACTCGGCAAAAATATAGCCGAGTACTCGGTGCTCGGCCGAGTCGACTCTTTCGGTACTCGGTGCATGTCTACTTTTTACCTGTATCCTCATGGTCATGATGTGAATCCTTAGCAATTCGAGAAATCAAAAAAACATTATAGTTGCGATTTTCCAGAACTTAACACAGCAATTGATTGGGAGTATATTTATACTGCATGGTATTAAGAAAAACTCAAAAACTTTGGCCGATCATGTACATCAATAAATTGGTCCATCGTTGGACCATATAAAAAAATGATCCATTTCGAGCTATATATGTATGCCCAATTGATGCCCATGCATGACGCACCACATCTTTAAACCCCCTGCCATTAAATATTATTTTTGGTAATGCGACTCATCCAAATACATAAATATTATGCACAGGTCAATATTGATTTCGATGTACTTATAACATTGTTGTACTGACCTGAATATGATAAGTATTTACATCGATGGTGTTATGTTTACGCAAAATTTATCGGTGCGTCATGTATACATACAAATGTACATATACATATGTACATTTGTATGTATAATATGATAAGTGTTTACATATCAATGGGATCTTGTATTACAAAAATTCATCCTAAATCATATCATGCAATGCTAAATTTCGACGCATGCTGACAATCAAAGGAACGTCAGTACTGGCATGAACACATACATATTTAAATGTTTGCATATGTACATGCATACAATGTGCGTATATACTTATTAAGTATACAAGTACATATGTAGGTTATTAGACAGTGTTAATCCACATTAATTAATTACTTACTTACTTACTTGGTTAACTCGCATAATCCTTAATCCACCCTCACGAACAAAGAATCACCCAGCTCGTTTAAAATAGTAGCAATTAAATAGTGTTTAAATATTGCTTAATTGCAACTGTTTTAGAACAGATTTAGGGCAGAAGGATACTTCTGTTCTACAATCAGCGTTTAAATATACTTATATATTAAAAAATTTGACATTGTAATCCTGATTTCACTAAAATCAGACATAACTAAGCAAGGTTGCCAGTAAACTCGAGTCAAGTGTGAACTTCATGACGTGTCATGCTATTTGCATATTCAGTTTTTTTCAATACTTATGTGTAAGCATATGTATAAATACGGAATCATCACAGATTCTAAATCAGTAGTACGGATATAAAGCTAAAGCTTAATTAGCTTTAGCCTAATTAATTACAATTAATTAATTCCACGGGGAGAAAAATGGAGGAAAAATTTGATACCATAAAAAAAAATCGGACGTGTGATGGGGCGCTGTTCATTTTGAGGGCAACGAGCGGGCGTGGGGCTGGGATTCCTTTCCGTCGTGGCTTAGAGTGGCAGCGGGAAGCCGTAATTCTTGATAATGCTGGTCAAAAGGTTCGTTAAATTTGCATGAATCCGTGATAACTAACGGTTAATAAGTATTTATATGTGCACATAATTCTGCATAGTACACGATTGGATCTGGCCAAAATTTGGATAGCTTCGATGCGGAAAAATACGGACAGTTTTTAATATTTCGGGACAAATCGGGCATTGCCGATGAACACTGTCAAATTAAATGTGATGCGAATGGAAAATTTTGGCTGCATCGTTTCGTGAGCTTAATTATCTAAAAAAAACGGTTCCTTTTAGATGAGCGTATGTGAATTGCAAATTATAACAGGGATCCGAGACTGTTTATCTGAATGGCAAATTACTTCAGGATTATCCAGTCGGTTTGAAATTTGGGAATACATTTTGCTTTTCGCAAATTTGTTCACGCTTTTGGGCCTCATTTTTACATCCCTTCGTCAAAACTAAAGGCGGGAGGAGGTTGCTGTATCGCAATGACCAATTGGACAGAGAATATGTGTTCCTATTTGATGTGAGTTATATAACCTACCAATTCAAAAATTCAATTCACCCATTATAAAAAATACTTACTAAGATTTGAGTTGATTATTATGGGGTGAACCCCCTTGATAGGATCGTTATGCCCGTCTGTCTGGCCGTCCGTCGGTCGGTCCGATAACGCGTGAAAGAAACGAGATAATATTTACATATATTGCGACAAATATTTGTGTGGCCAAATATTTTTGAAATCCGCTATCACTTACATGAGCTGTAAATAAATATACTTCCCGTCAAGGGAGGGGGTGTGGAATTGGTCACACTACTTGGTTGCATGCGTTGTAGATATGTTACATACAACGCATGCAACCAAGAGGTTTATTAAATTCTTAATACAGAGACTGGAGCTAGACAAACGGGCAAATCGCAAGTTGGTGAATGCATCAAAGCTCATTTGCGAAAAGGTTAATAATCAGTCATCATCGACTAATAATCACTTAATTTTTAAAAACTATATCATCCTGACAAACATATTTGAACACGTGGTCAACACAAAAATTTCATGGGACCAAAAAGACCTACTCAACTGTCGCCTCGTCTCAAAATCATGGAACGACTCGGTGCGACTCATTCTCCAGAAAAATTTTGCAAAGAAATTTCGCATAATTATTGATGACCTTGTCTGCAACCCCAACTACCTCGCGGACCAACTTCAATATAAAATCCATCGCATGAAGGAGCTAAAATTTGACGCAATGAATATCAGAATTTTGCAAATGGAGGACAATACGAATGCCAACAACGTGAAGAAGGCAGTACTAAAATTCAATCAAGACTTCTCCTCGTTTATTAATCACCCAGATTTCCACCCACTCAAAGTGCTTACAATGAAGATAGACTATTTCACCCCGAATTGCATCCTCCTCACCAAATTTTCTCATTCCCTGGAAGAAATCGACATCCAGATTAAAATTCGTTGGATTAAGGATGAAATTTTTCCGAATAAATCAGGATTCCCGGAGGATCTAGTGTTTCCAAAATTGAAAAAATTAACCCTCGACTTTCGCAAACGTGAAGGAGATGACTTTGAGAAACTATCGGAGTCTAAATCTCTCGCCAAGCTGCTCTAAGCCTCGTCTGGAGTTGGGGAGCTCATTTTGAATGTTTATTTCAAACTTAACATCGATTTGGACTCCTTTAAGAATTTAAGGAAACTAGAGATTTTCAGTTGGTGTCTTTCCGGTTTAGAAGTATTGACTTTGAACGACCTTCTCACCAAAGTCATGACCTTGCCGGAAGGTCAACTACGCTCCTTCAAACTAGTCTTTAGCTGGGTTGCGGACGAATCGATGGGAGAGGAAATATTGCTATCTCTTTTTCAAAAGCAGCGCCAAAGTTTGGAAAACTTGGAGTTATCCTTTAACTCAAAACTTCGATTTCAACTTATCAGACTGCCGATGTGTATGCCTAATTTGAAAAGGTTATGGATAAGTTCGGATTCTGATAGGAGGACGGGGTGGGGTTCTAGATGGGGGTTTACATTTGATAGTCAGGTAGCGAAGGAGTGTGCAAATTTCATGGCTGTAATTGATTCAGAAATGTTAAAAAAGCTGTTGGTTGTACGCGAAGGAAGGAAATGTAATCGAGAATCGTGTCATACTTGCAACGATTTCTTGGTGCATGGAAAATGGGGTCCAATCCTAAAGCAGGCAAAATAATTTTTGGGAACATTATTTTATTCTTGAGAAAATATTCGTGATTGGGCTTGAAATATGCAAGCTTTCTATATTGTTTTGTTTAATGAAAATGAATTGTTTGGTTTAAAAAGAAATCCTTTAATAATTTTAATAATTACAATAAAAATTTGTCAATTTTGTGTGAAATTGAAGTCAAATAAATCTCCATTATTTTTGAACAAAGATGAATACATATATGTAGGTACATACATTGAATTAGAATTAGAAGGGCAAGTGCAGGAATAAAAAGACTATGTACAGTAGAAACATACTTACATAATCCCCACAACCAATTGTCCATATTTTTGATATATATGCATGTTTTACATTATCTATTTCTTATTTAGGATCATCCATATTCGTCCCATCTACATACATTACTTCTATCCGCATTCTGTACTGATCCTTACATATCCGTTTAGAAAAAAGCCAGCAGCACGTTTACCGTGTTATCGACTACGGCTTGCATGCACGCATTGAACGTATCCATTTTAAAATAGTATATGCTGACGAGACATTAATTCGTATGCACCACAACGACATTTCGACTCTTTTATAGTACCTACTCCTCCACGGCATGCAGGCCATATTTTGTTTGAAACGAGCCGAACTTTCATAAATTTCCGCTGCCGCTTTGAAGCAACTGCTTTCAAAGTAGCCGAACGCGAACGCGCTCAGAAACAAGGTGAATCGGATCGGCGTGGGTAAAATTTGCCAGCATTTGATCGTGATCACGTTGACGAGCACGTGCACTTCGCAGAGAACGTGTTGTGTAGCAGGCCACAAGAGGGCGGAACAGGTCTCTCTGTGTAGGCAATTTAGCACGTGCAAAATTTTGTACAGTGCCAAATTTCTTGACATATTTCTCACATTAAGGGCAGCTTTGGGTTCGAGAGTTGTTGCTAAAAGATACATAATTTAACAGATTGGAACATTCATATGCTTATAAATTCATAACAACGAGCGGTTATCTATTTCTTTACCAATTTGGCTCAACACATGTAAGGATTGTAAAGTAAACAAATAACCACTCTTCGTAATAGCTCACCATATCAGTTTCAACCAATTCCTTGTAATTTGGGCATAAACAACCAACTGTGACGATGCATATGCCGTCCCAAAGATGGCCATGTAGCTCAAAAGTAGCTCGGAAAAGGCGAACAGGGCGATTCCTTTAATGAAATTTTGCCAAAATATATAATGCATATGTCATTTAATTGTTTAGGGTAAATATTAATGTCTGCCTTATATGACTGAAACAGTGCCTTATTAAATATGCCTTACGATGGACTGAATGTTTGCCTTAAACATTAAATTGTGTAGCCTTACATATCTGAAAACGGCCTTATTTTCCTTGGGACGTCGGACAAAAATAGAAATTTCCACCCAATTAGCATTGCTGTATCAACCGGCGAAACAGAGCAAGATTATGGCAACATTTTTAGGATTTTAGCGAGTTCATGTGGCACTAAATATGAGCCAAAAGTATTAATTGCTGATTCAGCAGAAGCAATCACAAACGGCTTCGAATCAGTTTTTGGGAGCAACTTCGTTCGAGTGTATTGTTGGTACCACGTGAGTGCAAAGATCAAGGATCGATTAAAACAAATAGAATGTCCGGAAACCAGGCGTGAATTAAAGTCTGACATAGATTTACTTCAGTTAGCAGAAGATAAACTTGATTTCGATGCGGCTGTACATTTGTTTAGGCAGAAATGGTCCGGAGTTGATGCCGTCAAAAACTTCGTTGGCTACTTTATTGGAGAATATATTGACCAAAGGTGCGGCTGGTATGAAGGAACTGCCCCAGGGTTCCCTTCCACTAATAATGGACTCGAGTCAATAAATGGACTCATCAAACGTCAGGGAACACTTCGGAAGAGGCTACCTCTTGGAGAATTCGTCAACTGTATCTCCAAGCTTCTATCTGGTTGGTCCAGTGAGAGAGACCCTCAGCTACCGGATTACAAACGATTTAGACTCGAACCAGTTATAACAATTGCGGCCATGACCGATGCCTACAATTGGCTTAAAGATACCTCTCGTCCATCAACGAGACAAAAAAAGATTAACGATACCATAATCAAGTTTTTCGTACCAGCCAAAGGAACAAGGTCACTAGATGAAAAGGACATAGCCAACTACATTCAGCTTACAGAGAAAAAGTCGTGGAGAAAGTTCGAAACATACCGGAAGACGAAAGAAAAGCTTTGGGTGATAGAGTATGATATTATAAATTGGATGCAATCCCGTTGTAATTGTCCCATGTTTAAAAAACAGCATATTTGTAAACACTTAATTGGGCTCGCTGCCAACCGCAAAGATTTTAATATTTCTGACGCCTGCAAAAATGTTCCAATTGGTATAAAACGACGCCCAGGTCGCCCCAAACAATGTAAACAAGCTCTTATCGTTGAATAATTATATATTTTTTAATTACATGTGTGATCTGGGTTCAAAGATCATGTAAATAAACAAATTTTAATATCGGGAAATTAAGGCACTTTTTTCAGTCGATTTCTATTTTTTTCAACGTTTAAGGCAAACATTCAGTCAATCGTAAGGCATATTTAATAAGGCCTGGTTTCAGTCAAATAAGGCAGCCATTAAATACCACCCAATTGTTTACTATCAGTAGCTATGTACATGTTTAGCTTCTTTTAAATTACAGCGATTCATCAAAAATTCAAGCTAAACGATATTGTCAAAGTTACCAATTTTGTGGTCATACCAATCCCCGGGTAATAATCTGTTCCCCCAGTACCGCACGCTATGCCTCTCTTCCAAATGTTGCAGGGTTGGTCCGATAGGTTGGACGTGGACCGTTATAACGCCAAAGGTCACGTAAAACAGGCCATCGTCTACGCCACCATTTTCATCCGTATAGTATTCGTCTATAAGAAATTCAACATGTTTCTTCTCGATTTCAATATGTTCGAGATCAATATATTTAGTAAATTGAGATAAACATTTATTCAATTCGTACAGTAATTGGTAACTTGTAAAATCCGTAAGTTGTGTAAAATACTTTTACGAAATGAAATGACGCTCTAATTAAGTTCATAAAAATTTATAAGTTAATTTTCCTAAAAAATGTTTGTAAAATTTTGTAAACGTTTATAAATAAGTTTCCGGAATTTACGGATTTTGCTAAGTTACCAAGCACTGCGTGAACTGCCTCATTATAAAAAATCACTTGACATACTTGAAGCTAATGAAGTAACTACCTTTCAATCGTTGGTGCACCTTACATACCTGATTGATCAGATTATTCGCAGATTTAAAATCATTGGCAAACCATGCGATCAGGAGGCACGCTGCCATGCGTGAAAGTCCATGAGATAACAGCTTCATAGTCGCGTCTGCGCATAACGCGCGGTAGTTTACGGTACACATTGTTACCGCCAAATAGCCAGTGTCCAGAATTAGGTATGATTGCATTATGCCCCAAAGAACGAGACGAATTCGACTCTGGCTGAGTTTTACGGATTGCCCAGCATTGTCCCAATGTATGGGGAGGAAGCAGCATTTTTCGCAAGTTGTGTAGTACCGATGGAGAAAATATTGCCAATTTGAGGTCTTCATGTTGACAGGAATTTATTGAATTTGACTTTTTTTATAGAAAATATTTTTAAAATGGGAAATATTTTTGGACGTTCGTACTTGCAAAGTAAATGCCAAGTGCTGTTTGACATTGAGTATTTATTTAACCGGTTATCTTACATGCATTGAAAAATCAAATCAAATCAGTTTCTTTGCTTCGTTTAGGTAGTAGGAAACCAATTTCCGCGTATATTTTGAGCCAAAATTGATTGGTTTTAGTAATCGAGTTGTGAATAAAGTTGTCCTTGAATGGTCTGAAACGCTGTGGCTTAGTAGCTTCTTCAGATTTCCGTATACACAAATATGAAGTAATTTGATTTGGCTAAATTTCATGCTGAACAAGGGAAATTGCGTTTTGGAAAAATCCTCTCACAACTTATATATATATTCGTGGATTCGATATGTTAGAGGGTTAATTTTGTGTTCCCAGAAAACCAGGAAATCCTTTGTACTTTTGAATGGATTTGATTAAAGACTACAAGTGTATCATGCAGCTGCCGGAGTAAACTAAACCAGAGGTCGACGCCGCCGATCTCACGCCGCCGCGCCGCCATACGCCGATGAATTTTACGCGCCGCCGCCGCCGAAAAATTTAATTTCCTATACCTTTAACATTGCGACGCCGCGCCGCGCCGCCGACGCCGCCGAAAAATCACCAAAAACTGGCGCCGCCGCCGCCGAAAATTTGTCGGCGTCGACCTCTGAACTAAACATATGTACATACATAATACGTCAAAATATTTCTTCCTGGCAGAACACTACTTTATGTATGTAATAACTGTACAACCGGGAAGAGCCTAATCTAAATATAATCGTAACGTGTTCCTTCTTCGAAATCTATGTAGGTAAAGAGTAACACGTTGGCTGATCACGTGCGTACGCAATAAACCAGATACAGGAGACTGTGCAAGGCCAGTGACAAAGATACATATTATGCAAGAGTGAGGACATTATTAATTTAAATGCGATTTTATTTCTGACAAGAATACTTGTAATAAAGAAATAACTCAAATGAAATGGACACAAAATTTGATTTCATTTACTACGTATTGTAGGGATTTTAATTAGTTCTCCTCGTTTGTTTACTGAGGATGAGTTTTCTAAAATTCTAACAGATACGTCAAGTTCGAACCTTTCAGGTAATCATCTAACTCGAATTAAATCCTCTAATTAGTATGTCTTCTATGTATGTACGTCGTTACTCTGGACTTTGCTTTAAGATCTAAAAATCAAAATGCTTAACGTAACAGGAAGTTTACATATAATCGTACTGGAGTCATTCCGGGCATGCCAAGATTGAAGTTTCACAGTAAATATTCTTAGGCTACATAACACTATGATTAATGTTAAATAATTGTGTCCCCAAACATTTATGTATTTAGTGTATTTATGTATGTATGTAAGGCCCGCAAAAATCAGTCGAACCCCTGGCGATTTTGAAGGTAAACCCCCGGGTTTTTTCTAACCTTGTTCGAAACCTCCGTGGCGAAACAACCTTTCCGATATCGTGAATGCAAGTACTATTAAAATTATTATACAATTGAGATGACATCAATAAGTTTGACATATTTACAATAAAA